TAAAATTACTTACCACGGTTGCCAAATTTTGTAAGCGTGCGATTTTGTCGTCAAAAATAAAATCGGGTTACTAAGGTTAGGTTCCGATTTTTGCGAAGCATGACCCCTTGTTTTTTTTCTCTGTAATCTATTTTACGATACGAAGGATACGAACACAATTGTATAAATATGTACCCTAATTATTTTTTTTAGGAAATTTCATCCCTGTTAAAAGAAATGTTAATGGAGCCGTTGGAAATTTCACCGGGAGGATTTTTTACTCTGAACAGAAGACTCGTGACCTCGGTGAGGACGGGTATCTATTTTTTATGCAAATAATTTTTCCTCAAATTTGGTTTGTTATATTTTTTGTCTATGTATTTAGGTTCTATCGGCTATAATAACTTTCATCATTGTCCTTCTCCAATTTCGTGGATCGGAATGAAATTCGGCATCACATTAAGATCTTAAATCAGAAACATTTAATTGCTAAATTCTTTTAAACCTTGTACATATATGTATATATATTAAAGTGGATGCATGAAATTAAGGAATTAAATATTGCAATTACAAAGAAAAATTGCATGTACCTAATTTATTGCAAATTTTCGCCTGATGTACAATTCGCGTAGGATACATACGTTTCTTAATTCTGGTATACGTATTGGAATTCCCTTATTATTTAATTCCCTTTCGTACATACATATACCATGCATGGGAATAATTGCAAGTGCATAATAATTGCAGCACAATATTATTGTTCTGCAATATCGGATTATCCATTAATTTATTGTGACAATAAATTAATTCTTTAGACCAATAACCCGTCAGGAAAACAAGACGTACATACATACAACATACATATCTACACACACTGTTCGCATGGACATAAACATGTTTACATGTTCGCATCCACCAATTTACTTTGGGACAATTGATTGATCCCATACATGATTCCTATTTTTTTGTCTCACCGGAAATTGAGCATTATTGGCTACCTCCTAGATATATTTACGGTGTATGTGGACAGACTAACAAATTACATAGGGGGTTAAGTTTATAAGAGGACATTAAACTGAAGTTATTTGCTTGAACCAGAATACACAAGTACAGAGTTAGCAAGTACATACAGTACATCTGTACTTACAGAAATATAAATACAAATCATTCAGTAAGCAAGCATTTCTTGCAGCGCAAGGTGGATATATATAGTGTTTAATATTGCAAAGAATTATTAAGCCATTGTTTAGACAGTACATTTTCATAAAAATATTTCTCCGGCATAGATCCGAGTACTCCGGCCTCCGGAGGCCGGAGTATGCGACTTATTTTGGAGTACGGAGTACGCGGAGGCCGGAGTACGCGAGATTTCCCGGAGGCCGGAGTACTCGGAGTACGGAGTACGCAAAATATCTAATCCCATAGATTCAGAGCTTAGAATTAATCGAGATTAAGCAATGTATTGGCATTAGAGATTAAAATTAAGACTAAGATTAGACATTTAAACACATTGGTCAATCGCGATTAATTCCCAGCTCTGCATAGATTGGAGTACTCCGGGCCAGGAGTACGTACTCCGGCCTCCGGAGGCCGGAGTACGCGACTTATTTTGGAGTACGGAGTACGCGGAGGCCGGAGTACGCGAATTTTTCCGGAGTACGGAGTACGCGGAGGCCGGAGTACGCGAGATTTCCCGGAGGCCGGAGTACTCGGACTACGGAGTACGCGGAGGCCGGAGTACGCGAGATTTCCCGGAGGCCGGAGTACTCGGAGTACGGAGTACGCGTGGCTGGCCGGAGTACGCGTGGCTGGCCGGAGTACGGAGTACGCGTGGCTGGCCGGAGTACGGAGTACGCGTGGCTGGCCAGAGTACGGAGTACGCGGAGGCCGGAGTACGCAAAATATCCGATCTATGTTCTCCGGTAGGTATTTACATAAATTGGAAGATATTAGGTAGGTTGCGAGTTAGCGTAAACGTGAGAAATTTCTCCCGTAAACGTTAAATTTTGCTTCCCGCCACTTTTCGGCGGCGCCCATTTAAGGTTTACGTGAACTTTGTTTACGTTCACGTTATTTTGGACTTTAAATCCACCAATTTAGCGAGCGTTTACGTGGATTCGCCTGTTTACCCTAGAAAAGTCGAAAAATGGCAAACAAACAGGTATTTTTTGTTTCTTTTTAAATAAATTTATTGTTCATAAAATGTACAGCGTAAATAACTTAAATTATAAGGAATTGCAGCATAATTAATTATAATTATTAATTCTGATAGATGAAAACAAATATTAATCTCACACTTTTAATTTTTTAGACCCGATTTTCGTTCAAGTCTGATGTCAAGTTTGACATCGCATTGCTGACTGAAGTTGAGCAGCTCAACCCTTATGCTTATCGAATCCAAAAGAAGATATGGGAGGACATTGCACAAAACTTGGTTAATTGTGAATTGAAAATGGCTGTAACAGAGCGAAGTTGCAGAGATAGAACTACTTTAATTCTACAAGAATTTGAAAAGGACGAGGCGTTGAGCCTTAGGAGGTAAATAGTAAATTTACTTTGATTTCGTAAATTTGGAAATTAATTGATAATAATATAATTTATTATATAGCAGTGGAATTGATGAGGAGAGCATGGGTTCTTTAACCAAACTACTTACCAGCGTTGCTAAATTATCAAAGGTAGTTCCAAGCAAGAAGGCTCAGAAGCTGTTTTCCAAACCAAATAGAGTTGCAGCTGAAGCAGAAAGAGACTTTGCAGTTCAGGATGTCGAAATTTCGGCTGTAGATGACGCAGAAATTGAGGATTTAATTGATGAAGAATCCTCAAATCAATCGAAAATTATCCGCGAAGAACAAGTACTCTCGCCTACCAGTGATGCTGCTATTACACCAAAACGAGTTCGAAAAGGGGACGTAGTGGATTACTTAGAGAAAAAATACAAGGTCCGACCATAATTCATAAACTAAATGTGGTGAGCTAATGATTGGTTTTTGTTCTTTTATTTAGTCCGAACTTGAGCTAAGGAAAGAAGAAATTGAATTACGAAAGTATGAGGCTGAAACCAGACGGATGGAGATAGATTTCGAAAAAAAGAAACAAGAGCAAAAACATCAAGCTCGTATGGAGGAATTGGAATTGCAGAAGGCGAGTGAGACTGCAAAAAATCAAGAAAGAGCTGCATTGACAAATGCATTATTTGAATTAATTCAAAAAAAGTAAATTTATTCCTTATACAATACAAGAATAAAGGCGTACTATAAAATTTATATATTTTTTGTCAAGTATAACTTCATGGAGCATTTAAATAACGCTCAAGATCTGGTGGTGCTTCACAAAAGTAATCCGAAGTTTGGCTGCCGTATATGCACGTGTGGCAATTAGTTAACAGCACACCCACTTTGAAATAGTTTGCAATTGGCTGGAGTCCGTATTTTAGATTTTTCTTGAAGTCTAGGAAGGCAAAGGTCCTGATGACTTTTCCAAATCCCCACTCAACACATTGTCGGACTTGACTCATACTCTTGTTGCACTGTCGCCTTCCAGGGGTGGGATTGTGACCTTTAAAAGGGACCATTAAGTGACGGCGAAGAGGATACGCAGGGTCTCCATATAGATAAAGAGGATCGCCGAGATTATTATAGAATCGCCTTTCTAATTCTTCCATCACTCCACTTTCTTGTAGCATGAATGAATCATGCCGGCGTCCATCCACAGGTCCATAAAGAGATCCAATAATCCCATCTGGCAGCATGATTGATTGGAATTTGATGGCGTGTACCCTTTTGTGTCCATTATAATGCTTAAAAATAATTGATGATTTTAGTAATAATTGAAGTTTTTATCAGAAAAGAAGAAATAAACAAGTAAATTTACTGTTACCTCTCGCTGATTGTTTGTAGGCCTGCACATAGCCCTTACTGTCCCATCCAGAAATCCAAAACATTTCTTGTATGGAGATCCCTTCATCGTAATAGCATCTGCAAACTCCTGAATTTTGTCCATTGTCAAATAGGGATGATTCAATCCTAGTAAATGTTCATGTAATCTAATGATTCGTCTGATGATCAAATTAAAAATCCGTGATAATTCGCAACGAGTCCGAGGAAAGAGCTTCATTAAATCGACATTTCTGTGAATAAAATAATTAATCGATTTAGTAAATTGGCTCTAGATTGATAAAACATTTGTTGTTTACCTGCTGGGATATGCCAATCTTCTTAGAGTAATGCACAAAGCTTCCAGGGCTCCCACCTTAATTCCATTGTCACAAACAATTGTACCCTGAAGATGTAGAGCTTTTTTAAGTCTCAAAATGTCATTTTTGTAGAATCGAAAGTTAAGAAAACAAAACTCGTCCACCATTGAATTTAATTGAAAAGTTTCAATTCTTGGAATGGATTGATTTTGATTATCTAAAAGAAGGATGTCCTCTATTTCGGAGTCGGCCAATAAAGGAAGTAAATTTATTATTTGTTTTGAAAACACTGCCATTTTAAACTGGTTTATAAAGAGTGAATTTAATTAATGACAATCAAAGCATTGAAGCAATAATGTAAACAAACCATTGAAGTAAGATTCAAATTTAGCGCTCAAGTTTACGCTCACGTTAATTCGCAACGCCGAAATTCCGTAAACGCAAACGTTAACGCCAAATTTTAAGTTTACGTTTGCGTTTACGTGAGCACCCGCAAACTCGCAACCTACCTATTAACGTGGTTACATTTCACCTAATTTACATGCACATATACATATGTACATATAATAATAATATAATAATAATAATAATATTATTCATGAAAATTCTTACAAGGCTCATGACCCACAGAATTACAGGTTATTACAAGAAGACATTTTGAAAAATTGAGTTCGTTATTAACGGTACAATCGTGACATACGTACATGTAAATGTGTATATGCCATTTAAGTATGTACATGTGTATGTAAATATTATGAGAATTGTTGTAAATTATGTTTGTAAATGTGGCTAATTTATTTATTGGGCGTGCGATTATGTAACTATTTGCAAAAGAATAAACTACGCATAAAATGATTTTCAGTGGTTGTGGACTTGGTGATATTTATTTCTCTCGAGAGAGGATGAAACTCATGTGTGAAAAAGTGGTGGACATTTGTGTCCCAATAAAGAGGCAGCTTGAGACGCAGTATTTGGTGGTCTGACTACATATACGTTTATTCCCTCCTTCCACTTTGCTGTCCAAAAACCCAATAATCTACTTTACAATGTCAACCTTTTCATATCGTTTTCTCTCTCCCCCACTACTTAAGGATCTATGTACATACGTGTATCTTACAATCTAACATAATGCTGCCTTTGCACTCTCTCACGCTTCTGCATGGGTCAAGAGTCAAGCATAATAAATTTTAATGGTTGGCTGGAACTTTGTTGCTGGCTGGTCGAAACTGGACACTTTTCACCAGATCTTGGTCTCTGGTTGAGATGAGATGCTGACAATATGCATAAGCACTTGTTAACACGTGTCACCACCATCATCGAGTATGTATCTTCCTCACGCATATGTCACTTGACTTTCAAGTACTTTCACTTTCACTCAATTTGACTTTCACTCTGGGAAAGTATTGATTAATCTCACCGTTTAGAATCCGATCAACTCAACTGCACAGAATCTGCTACCCGGGTTTAAATCAGGCAAGGTGACGACGACCGAACAGGTGTCACCGGCCATCACTCTGTACCCGATTTGAATAAGTTACATAGATCCAGCCTACAAAATTATTGGAAAATATTTCAAGTGCGCATACATACCTGAATAGTGTAAAGAAATTGTTGAAAATGCCACGTGACCCGGACGACCACTTGACAGGGAAGGACGGCTTTTGTGTGATTCTATTACTTATAATTTGTGCCGTAGTTCTGGGCACGATCGCCGTGTTGGATTATCTCGGTCGACAAGGAGGTGAGAACGTCAAGCATTTTTGTCTCATTTGGTACACATTTACATACATATGTAGAAAAATCAAATTTTGAAAATGTCACTAATTTTTGCATTAAAATTTTATGCATATGATAATTTAATATTCTCGTGCAGATGCAAATCGTATTGATATATACATATTTAATTTGCACACTTTTTTTTACATGTGCTGGCAGACGAACTCCATTGCACCCCTGGGATTAAGGACTGTTGCAAAGTTTGGTGTGAAAAGAGGAATCCGTCCGTCATGGTGTGCAGCGGGATTGACACGACTTTCGACGTGGCGCCACTTGCTTCGCATAAGAGAAGCCTCGGAATCATGACCGTGACATATGATCCCATCAACTGCACGTGTTTCTGCCTCGGCTACAACTTCACATGCTCCCGAAATTTTTGCCAATCTGAGATCAAAATGCAATAAAGCGGACAGCAGGCAAAAAAGGAATGATTAAAAATTCATTAATTCATTAAAATACTCAGCAGGGTAATTAATACAGGGTTACATCGCGCTGATGTATGTAGCAGGATTTAAGCGTCGATAAAATAAAGTTAACTTGTCTTAATTATTGAGCATTATTATTACTAAAATAAATATGTACGTGAGTTAGCCGAATTATGTAAACAGTACCCCGTGAGGATTATTGGTAAATAAATTTATTAAATTGGTAGGGTTTTAATTTATGAAATACATATGGACACCATTTCTGATTTTTTTGTGCCAAAACTAGATGCTTTACAGATATTCATTATCCTGCATTTAATAGATTTAATGAGGTATTCATCTCGAGTTCGCATCCTTAGCAACCTTCGCAAAAAATAACGTTCGTAAGTTCGCAAAAAAATGGCTTGAAAATTCAATTGCGAACTTGCACATCTCCAAGGCTAGTAAACTGCTAAACTGCTAAATTTACTTGCATATTTAGTTTGCAAAATGTTATGAAAAGTTATGTTTGTTGCGAGACGAGCATGCGAACTCGTAACGAATATGCCCTCAATAATTCAGTCATCGTAAGTCTGATTTAAATATTCAAGTCAAAGTACTTATACATAAATATATAGTACTATGATGTTTACCTATATCCAGAGACGTGTGATAATTCATAAATATGTACATACGATACTTATGTAAATATCATCAATTGCTGCATATGTATACACAGTTCATTTATTCCTTTGCCAAGGTACACATTTACATATATAAGTAGTTACCGCCCCAAAACTTTACCATATCGATTAATATTGCAATTATTACTCATCGATGCATAATCTGCCGTCCCAATTACATATGCACAATAAATAAGTATCAAAACTCAAATATGCTTAAATGGGTTGGATACATAAGATTACGGGAGTCCCTTGTTGATCAATTCAATCGAGATTGAAAACGGCATATTTACACATTCATGCATATACCTTATTTAAATTTAAAATTAGCTTACTTTAGTTCAAGAACCTTATGGTGCTTATCTTAACTATATTTAATAAGTACATAAGCAAATTAGGTTAGAAACTAATCTCCCAATTTATCACCAAATTCGCATGCATCGACAAATAAATTCGTAACCGATTAGTTTGCAGCTTTATTATTCGTGTCACCTTGAAGAGTTGCACTTCGATTAATTTTTTTTAATTTGCTGTAACTACCATTTTACTTGCAATTATGCAATCAATAAATTTTACACTGTCACTTTTTCTAATTTGTGTCCTAATCGTGCCAACTTCACATGGACACCCTGCCGTCCAACGATATAAAGAAAGCAATATCATTGGTTACTTATCCGGAATTTTTGGTACTCGTAGCATTAGTTGCCATTCCTTGAGAGGATATTCCATTTGCACCCATGTTACTGGGTGGTGGCGGAAGTGCACTTGCGGATCTGAATGCGACCAAGTGGATGGCTGCGTGTGCAAGAAATGCGAATCTGGTGAAATAAACTGTGATCAAAATTTAAGATTTATTTATTTTAAAAAAATGAGAATTTTAATAAATTTCTCATTTTTTGAGTAAGAAAATGATAAAAAGTATTTTATCATTATCTAAATATTAATATAAATATGTAGATGAAGTAGAAGATATGACGACGACTTTCATGGAAGGAATAATACTTGATGGTGGAGATGTTCAAGTTATGAGTGACACAGGGATTGATGAAGATGATGAAGGTGGGCAAATAAATTACACATATTTCCAAGTTTTTTTCAGTGATGGATAAGTATCTTACTTTCAGATAATGAAGATACCACGGGTCAAGAAATTGTAGAAACAATCGACAACAGCGACATTGGTTGGATACATGAGTTAAGAAATGAAGTACAAGAAAAGGTTAACGAGGGTGAGATAAATTATTTAACGGAAATATGTAACAATTCATATTCTTGCACTACATATATATGTAAATATGTATGCAAGTCTTTGGACTGCGTATCTGAATATGAGACAATTCACGAACTCATTAGTAACTTTGTAAATTATGTAAAATAATTTTGCATACTTTCCAAAATAAAAGGATGCCCTTGATCTGAGTCAGTTTACAAAAATTTGTGAGCTAATTTTCCCTAGGAATATGTATTTGTACGTATATAAAAGTTTTTGAAAGTTAGCACGTTTCCAGAATTTAAGGATTTTACATTGTTACCAAAGCCTGCGTGAATTGTCTCCATGTTTTGATTTTATTTTTCCATAGTTGTCCACGACGTTGTCCACCTCGTGGAAGAGGAAGCTCCCAAAGTGGAAACTTTCCTAAACGAAACTTTGCATAAGGTGGAAGACAAAATAGTTCACTTTTACAATGAGACGAAGCCAGGTGAAATTAATAAATTGAGTGATATGTACATAAATACGTACATTCTAAGCATGCTTAAAGTAGGTGGGTATTTATGTACATGCATTTTTTGCAACACAGTACTTCACCATGTCGAAACTGAAGTTGTCACTGTAATAGAAAATGGGGAAGATTTTGTCAAAAAGGAATCCGAGGTTGTTGGGGGTGCCATGAAATCGTCGGTAACCTGGGTGAAGGATACCTTCCACTTTTTAAAGTATGATCTCTAAAATTTCAAATTTTAATTTTACTTACATTTATATCGTAATGTTTTATACAAATGTTTGATTTTACACTGATACAGAATCGTGATGGAAGTCGTTTTAATTATTGCCGTGGGTTTCGTGCTGATTAAATTGAAACGAAGCGTGCAGGAGTTCATGGGGCCAAATAATTCGTAAGTTTAAAAGGATGACATTAGTAAATTTAAATTTACATACATACACTGTTAACAATCACAGCCAATGGGTTCGGTTATAATTTTTTGCCAAATTAATAATTGCCTAAATGTGATAAAATTTTACTACCAGGCCGACTGGAAAGTACGGAAATAATATCAACGATAATTCAGCGGAAATTTCATCAATAAGTAAAGTTGTTGTAAGTTAAATATAGATTTAATTCACAATTTTGCAATAATTTTTATTTTACGAATATCGCGATTTTTTAAAAATAATTTACACCTTTAAATTTTCAGGATTACAATAAGAACAATGTGAACAAGGAGGAGGAAGAATTTGAAGCAACACGACCAAAAGAGAATAACTAATAATCATTATCCAATAATTCAAACAAATGTTATTTATTTAATTTTTATATACCATTTTCGAATTTTTAAGCTTTAAAAATGAAAAAAAAAAAAAATTTCTTGCCAAATTCTTACAAAAGAATGACTCAATTAATTATTGCATGTATTCCCTAAATTTTTCCAATCTTCGCAATCACATCCGACTGGCGGACGTCCACAATTTGGACTACCCACGTCCATGCAAGCATTGTACAAGGCGCAGAGCATGGCGCACTGCCAGCTAGTTGGGGCCGCCTTCATCAGCGTCGCCAGACCCAGGACGAGGAACGCAATCAACAGGACAAACGTAGCCATGGTCTTATTTGTTGAAAAGTTTCTGAAAAAAGAATATACAAATTTTAAATTGAAATATTATCAAGGGTAGGTTAAACAATTATGTATGAGACAATTCACCCAGTCCTTGATAACGTTGTAAAATCCACAAATTTTGTAAACTAACTTAAAAAAAATTACAACAAAAAGATGCAAGATTTAAAAAGGAAAATCAATTTGTAGCTTTTCGTTAAGTTAATGGCTTCTTATTTTATAAAATCCGTGAGTTTTGTAAAATAATTTTACAAACGTTTACAAAATAAAAAGACGCTCTTGATCTGAGTAAATTCAGAGTAAGTACGAAAATAGGTAAGCTAATTGACCTCAGAAATATTTGAAATAGTTTTAAAAACTTTTTAAGTTTACGGATTGTATAAAGGTATCAAGAACGGCTACATTGAAATTTTACCAGTAAAAAATCCGGAAATTTTATTACAAGGTAAAGGAAGCTGGCAAAACCGGAATGATACAAAGTGGTACAACTCCCCGAGTTTTTAAATCCTGTGAAATCCATTGTTATTCCGAAATGATGATTTTATTGATGTGCTCATCAAATACAGAAGTACAACTTCCTCGTCTGGAGCAAGATTAAATGTGCAGAAGTTAATGTTTCAGCAATAAAATAAAACATTTTTTTTACGACAAATGTGCAGCTTATTTGGAAAATAAAGATTATTTATGTACATTAAAATTTTATCTGTAAATTTAGCAAACGTGTAAATTTAAGCTCAAAATTGGGTATTGCTAATTGTGAAGGGCACAGTCTTTTAAATAATGTCAACCTGAAGTTATGCGAATTTAATGGGCAAAGTACAGAAATAGTTATTTATATTATTAAATAAATTTGTATCTGTTTTACTCCATTGCTATTTAATTCCAATAATAAAACTGCAAATCGCTACATATAAATCGATTTCAGACAAAAGGTGTATTATACATAATTTACATATATGTACATTTACAAATATGCAAGTACGTATTTACATTTGTACATATTTATGTACACAGATTTACATGCATGCATCCATCAATTATTGAAAGATTGTTCATTATTTTACTTAATATGATTATCTGTCCAACACTGCAAATGTAATTACAACACTGTATAAAGAAGTATTAAACTGATGTTCCTATTTATATATGTACAAGGTTGTACAAAATCAAAAGGGTCAAGAGCATTCCAATTTTCAGTAGCAATAAATGTTTTAGATTTCTAGTGATAAATATGTATCTGACGTTTGTACAGGCTTTGCTTCATCTAAAATAATTTTAAATTTCTAGCCTATGCATAAATTCCAAAGTTTAGAAAACTGCATCATTATATAATTTGATCAATATGATAATAATGAATCTAACATGAAAAACATTGCATTATGAATGAATGCAATAATTTTTATGTAATTCATATCGTGACTGAGAATATAAAATGAGACGGTTGTTGTCGCTTTGTGCAGTACTTTATCCGTGCGTTTGTTCTGCCCGGTGGACTCCACACTAGTTGAAGTGTGGAAAAATCTGCACAAAATCAACACTAAAAACATACCGTAAAATCCGTTTCATATGCGTTCATTACAATATGTGATGCTGCATGTAGCTGAAAATAGGTGGAAAAACTTATCGCTTTAGTTGTCATGCATGAGATGATCATGATTTTATTCATGAACAGAGAGTAGTTAGAATTTAGGTACTTATGTATATATGTAGGCCCGTATATTATTGAGTTAGTGTACACGAAAAGCATGTTCGAGCTGTCCGCAGGTGTTGGTGGATACTGAATAATTGTAATTTACATAGGAAATGTTCATCAATTAAAGAAATATATATTTAATAGATTGCCATTAATTGGAATAAGTTGTGATTGAATGTATTTATAAATTACTTCGTCAAAATTTGTCTTGATAATAAAATATCCTGAACGCCTTATTTATCGTGGTAATTCATTTGGCAAATAAATCATCTTAAAAAATGAGTACATAATAAATCAATTCACACAGTCCTTAGTGGTAACATTGTAAACTCCGTGAAATCTGTAAACTTGTACACTTTTACATAATTTTACAAATGTTTCCGAGGAAAATTAGGTTACAATTTTTTTAAAACTTATGCACATAGATCACGTGCGTCTCATTATTTTGTAAAGGTTTGAAAAATTATTTAAAGTACAAAAGTAAGGATTTTACTAGTTACCAAGGCCCGCGTGAATTGCCTCAGTATATATTATGTTACATAAAAAATTGGCATTTATTAAATTAAATATACCATTAATCGGAAATAACAAGTTTTCATCGAAATTCCCCTCTCTCAGGCAACACTCAACATTTCGATTTCGGTCTTTCGGACCTTACGACCTCCGGTTGCATTTGTCGCTTTTTCCGTAATCCACCAACCTCCCGTGTTTTCTCGACATCTAATTTATGAACTCTCGTTAGATGACGATCTAAATTCTTTTTAGCCTTGAATCTTCCTCCACAAGCGTGACAGATGTGATTTCTAACGTCCGAGTGGGATACGAGGTGCTGGGTTAACGCTTTCTTAAGATAAAATCCGGCCCCACAAATCTGCCAAAAACAGAAAAATGTTGATTGAAATGCTTTAAGGATATAATCAGTACGCATATTACATGACATTGGTGCTTTTTTATCCCACTGTGAAGAACTTTGTGCGATTTGAGTCCTTCTGTTCCCGTAAAAGTGTCACCGCTGAAAAAAGGTGGAACAAAAAATTAACCCAAAAAATCAATCTTTGCAAAATAAATTTCGAAAATTGCTTATTTACCACTCGTCACAAACGAACGGGTCGGCATTGTGCTCACGGATGGTGTGTGCTTTTAGGGAGGATCCAGTTTGGAATTTTTCCCCACATTCGGAACACTCATATCGTTTCAGGTTTTCGTGAACTTTCTGGACGTGGAGTTTTAGAGAGTATTTGAACGGAAATCCCTTCCCACAAAGGGAACAAAGGTGCTGTACGGTAGTGTGGCGGCGAATCACGTGTTTTCTTCTGGTACGTTTGTCGATAAATGATTCCTCGCATTGGTCACATTTGACCGGTTTTTCGCCAGTGTGGGTACGCACGTGTCTGGGAAAAAATTAAAGAAATAATTATTAACTCGTTTTTTTTTGTGACACACGTGTATAAAATTATGCCAAAAATCAAACGAAAAAGTTACAATGAGACAGTTTACGCAGGAATTGATAATATTGTAAAACCCGTAAATTTTGTAAACTTATAAAATTTCACACACATTTCTAATGAAAATTAGCCTTATAAATTTGTGTACATAAACTTACTGAGTAAAAGGGCGTCTCTATATTTTGTAAAAGGCTGCGAAATTATTGTACAAAACTTACGGATTTTACAATTCAGCCTCGTAAATTTGTTTTTTTTGCAAAAGTGTGGAAACTTTGTCAATTTTCCTGAATTAATGGATAGAAATGTTTGATTACTAAATTATCTGTATTTACTAATTGTCATAATTAACCAAACACATATGCAATTAAACTACGAAATTTTCGAGACTTTTAAATCTCGTATAATTTCAACTTTACCAAAATTACCTTTGCCACGAGTTTTTAGTTCCGAGCGTTATTTCGCAAAAATCACACTTCCAGGTCGCATGCACCGATGCATGTTTATCCAAGTAGGCTTGATTTACAAATCTCACGTCGCAAACGGAACACACGACGATTTTGCTCTTATCGACTTTATGTCGCCGCATGTGACTTAGAAAATTAAGCTCCAGCGTGAAACCCTTCCCACATTCTGATTTCGTACAGAAAAATGATTTTTCCTCCGTTTCGTGCCGCACGATCATGTGAGAGTCCAAAAGTCCCTGGCTTTCGTACTTGTTTTGGCAAACTTGACATTGAAATTGGCAAAAACCTTGGTGCTCTGTTCGCAAATGGAGGCGGAGTAGTCTCGCCCGGCGAAATTTTGAAAGGCACACCCCACACGAGTATTTGTAACGGGATTTGTCATCATTTTTGCTACGTTTTGGTTTCGGAGGGGAATAAGGTGGGTCTTCTTGGTCGGATTTGGACACGCTTTGATTTCTAGAAGATTAATTTGTAGGAATTGTAATTTCCTAAATTTGACTTTACAAAAACAACAGGAAACCTTCGTATTTAATTTACCCTGTGGTTTCATCATTATCTGGAGTTATACAGAAATCAGAATCGTCGTCGCTCGTAGTATGATCATCGTCTCCAGAGTCGGTTAATTCGTCACCTTCATTTAAAGAGAAAAGTGGGTCGTCCTTATCCTCTGAACAGAGAAGTGGGTCTTCCTTATCATCTGAATGATTAGAGGGGGTGGGAGACGGAGGACAGGGAATATCGTTTTGTGGGGGGAATTGTTCTTCATGATTGTTCATTAAACACGATTCGTCCTCTAATTTGATCTCAAAGTCGGGGAGAATCTGCTCAGTTTCTTCGTCTTTAAAGAAGTAAAATTGCAATTATTCTGCAAATTATTACTAATTATTAATTATTTGAAATAATGAAATAAACCTGGGGAAAGTAACGATTTTCGAACTTTTTGTAAACTCTCCCCAATTGTTTCATCTTTTTGAAACGAATTTGACACGGTTTTCCTCAATTCTTGGACTTTCTTCACAATCTTTTCTTCCAATTGGGATACCTGTTGCTTAATCTTTTCAATTTCTTTCGCCGATAAGAAACAATTCTGGCACAGTTTGAATCCGTCGGTGTCCTCGATTTCTGCAATGATTGATTGATGGGGGGAGGAAGTGCGGTGTTGGGGGACGAGCAGGTCGTACAGTCGGACAATTTGTGCCTTTATTGTAACTTTCTTGGCAGGGAGGGGACGGTTATCTTTGTCCAGACTGGATAAGCAGAGGAGACAGGGATATATTGGCATGGCGGAAAATCTGCAAGGTCAAAGGTACAAAAATTTGTTAAGAATTCAAGTTGTTCAAAAATTTTTTGACAAAAAATAATGAATCAAAATCAAATTCAAAATTCGAATCACATGCACTTGAAATTACGAAGTTAACTGCAAACCCCGCAAAAGTGCTTATAAATGTACTTACAAATTAATTAAATCTGTATGCTGTGAGCTATAGGGCAAATTTTAATTTGTAAATTACTAATTGTAATTATTTAACTGACCGGTAAGTCGCAGGCTGAAACCAAAAAAATACAAGAATCGGAAGCAGCTGACTTGTAAAAATCCCACCCAAAGTCTCATCGGTGTATACAAACTTTAGTTGCGAAATTGTCTCAAATTGTCTTATATTAATAAAACTCTATGCAAATTGCATATTTATTGTGAAGCCCAACCACAGAACTATACTATTATATCAATATGTTGAGCCCAACATTGAAAGTAATGTAATTGAAAATCATAAAAAATTGAGTAAAACTGACACATTCTGGACCTATACATAATAAAAATAAATAAGAAATTATTTTGGTTCATGTAAATATCTAAAAACATATACTTAGTTTTAAAATAAATTAAATATAATAGAAAGTTCCCACATAAACGTTTGGTATATATAGAAAATCGTAAAAAAAAATCATTTGTAAAAATATTTCACGGATTTTTTTTAGAAATTGTATTTTCATGAGTGCGATTTATTATAAATTCATGTCACGAAAAGTGAGACAGCCGTCGTCTGTATGTTTGTGCAGTACTTTATCCGGGCTACTCTTCAGCTCGTTGGGTCTCCTCCGTGTTTATACGCGAAAAACTTACCTTGAATTCGCATGTTTTCATTGGATTGAAGTTTATGTTTTGTCTGGAATTCACGCTATATTTTTACGTAAATATTTTTCAGAATATCCTTGCATTATGTATGTGTGCAATTTGTAATTGTTGTTACGATATGCATATATTTATATTGAAAGGAAATTGACTGATAGTCATTTATTCACGTGTTATTCCTTGATCAGTATAATTCTATGCGCGGTTTACATACATCAAGTAATACTAAAAGCTCAAGTAATACTTATATCCTAATCTGTGACTAAAAGATAGAATGAGTAAGGACCACAGATTAGGATATAAGGTAAGGACTTAACTTAACTACATAACATGATCTTACATTTATCCATTCCATATTAATAACCTAGTCTAACGATTACTTATAATCTAATCATAATTACTTTACGCTTTTTCATAACAAACTCCGTAACAACTCCAAAAGTTTTAGTAAAACTTGGTAAAACTTTCACGAAGTTTTCAGCGTTGGAGAGGTTTGAGATCGGGGATCTATGTAAACTACATATCTGTGGTTCTCATAGCCTGACTGGTTTGCCAGGATGATTTTTGGAAGTGGGAAGGGAACTGGGAAGACAACTTTTGAATACCATGCACTCTTGTTCTGTTTTTCTCTCAACTTGTTTACTTCTAAACTGAAGTCGAATAAGAATTATAATTATACTAGTTAGTTATAAATTATAACAAATGTTCCAAATAATTAATAAACTTTGCTTCTTTAATTTATTATGTTGACCGGGTTCATATTCTCTTTGGTCGTGATTCGGTAGTGAGTTTTCTCAATTCTGGTTCAATTTAATTTAAAATGTCGAAATATAAATTGAAAATAACAAACCATGTGGTTTATAAGAATTACAAAATAACTAAATGATAATTTCTCCGCGTATTTTTAGATCGAAATGCCAGGGCATCACCGTTGCGTAGTAATGGATGGCAGGAATTTGCGGGAGGATGCATCAAGGTCTGGACTTTCATTCTTTGCGTTTCCGGAAGACCATAGGTACCTGTCTCATCTTACTTATAGCACCTGAGACACTAATTTTTCACCTTTGTCCACAGAAAGCTAGTTTGGTGTACAGCATTAAATCTTGACCCGGAGGCCTCATATAAGGGAAAAGTTATCTGCAGTGAGCATTTCTTGACGGAAGATATGAAATTTACAAGAAAACTCCTTCCTAATGCAACCCCTAAGATAGTACAAAATGTATCGCGAATACAGCCAACAAAAGATCTTACCAGTAAGTAACACTTAATATAATAGTAATTCTATGTAAATATGAATATATAATATAATTGTTTACAGGCACATCAATTAGCGTAAAGACATTTAGGAGTCGCTCTACCCAATCAGATCCGGAACCGATAATTTCCACATCTCAAAATGGTATGTTTAAACAAAGTAAAATGCCTCAAACATGGACTGACACGATTTGCTTGTTGAATAGAAGTTACATAAATGCTTTCCTATTTAGAAAAATATACAATTTAGTTCCCCAAAATTTTGTTTAAAATCACAATTTTCAGGAGATGGGTCCCTTTTTATTTTTTTTCTTGATAACTTTATTTTCTTTTAAAAATCATAAATGTAAATTAGAGGACTCGCAAACTAAAAGTCCCTATTAAATATACTCTAACTCTTATGAATCTTATATATCATCAGGTCGTAAACGTCTGAAAACATCCTGCAAAAAAGTCCTGCCAAAAAAAATCCTGCAAAAAAGTCCTGCAAACAAGTCCTGCCAAAAAGTCCTGTAAAAGTCCTCCTAAAGTGATGACATGAAGCACTATATGTAAAAGTAGATATATATGTATGTACAAATGTCTTAGGTATCTTAACGAATATTCATATTAATATTAATTCAGTTGTATGAATTCGAGTGTGAAGAAGATTCATCACACTCAACGAATTGTTTTCCTCTTGTTTAATTTTTAGATTCTTCCTTTAGAACTTTGCTCATTCAACTACATTCTTAAAGCACATTTTATGACGTGACATTATTAGTGAAATTTCATCAAATAGCTTCAAAACCCAGGTGTGTCATGAATAAATGAAAGATTAATAAATACTTCCAACTTATATAATGCAAATCTGTATATATCGACATAATGTATGCAAATAAAGCCCGAACATACATATATGTAAAATGAACGCATCATTTTTTTACTCCTTCAACTCCGTAAAAGCTTCTCATTTCTCCACTTTAATTCATGAGAAATAATTACATGGAAATGCAATTAGCGACTAGTTATTAATTAATAATGCAAACTTTTCCAAGTATTTGGAGTGTAATTCAATTTCAATCTGTGAAAACATGACGTATATTTACCTTCTGGATAACACCGTGTGCAAATAGAACCTTACATATAAATACGACTCTCATTTTCTCGAAATTATCCATTATCGATTGAACATTGAAGAAAAAAATAACCAATAATTTCACAAATTATCTAAAATCTTCAAAAATGCAGTCATTCCTTCCAGCTGCGGCTATTATTTTAGCATTTGCCACCTTGGCGAATGGGGCCTCATCTTCAAACACCGAGGTTTCCTTCGCACGACTTCCCACGACCTATTATCTCCAATTTATACTCGCCAATTCGCTCGAAATGGGAGAAACGTGTTCCTGGAGTGACGAATCCGTCCGTCAATCTGGTCTCCGTCAGATGAGAAAGTTTCCCAGAAAGAGCATGCCATACTGGCAGGCATTCGACGCCTTGGTGTCCAGCACGGTGCAAAAAGGGAGGACTTACTGCAACGCGACAGAAATGCTGGTTTGTGATAAAGAAATGGAAAAATGCGTTTGTGGGGAGCACGCTTCTCAGGTACATAGGTTTTATTAAGTAAAAAAAACGTATTTTTCATAATTTCTAAAAACAACTTGAATTAATTTAGTACTTACACTCTTAAATATACATTTTTAGGTGTATGTATGTATGTATGTAGTTCTAGTCAGCCAGGTATTGATTTCTCGGTACTAAAGTTGCTACCGCATGGGAATAAAATTACTTATGCCGATATGGTAAACCTTTAATATCGAGCTAGTACTACATACATGGTACTGCTTATCAACAGCACTTTGGTAGAGTCATATAGGAATACCAATTGGTATTATTTTATTACTGGATTTCTTAAGTTTAATTTTAAATTCAGACCGCATTTATTTTTCAAAATGGTAACATTATTTGTAAGAGTGTACATCTTTTAGGCCTATCTTGGAGCAAAGTATAGCCCAAGCAAGTACACACCCGAACTAGATGACGAGACTGGGTCAAAAGTATGTCGCTGGTCACGAGGGGCCGCATGTATTGACCGTGAAGCCTCCACGGATGGTTCTTTCGTCCCAAAATGTGCTCAAGGCCTGGGTTGTACGTACACCAAGGATGGTACCCCTTGCACGAGTACATCACCATATCAATATTTGCTTGAATCTCTGCAAAATAATGCAACCTACGCCGAGTACAACGAAGGGGCTCTGACCGGGAAGATGTGCCAGTGTACGAAAGATGATAATGCAAAAGCGGATGACACGAGCAACAATTGGAATCGACGATTTAAAAGGAGCCTGAATGGAGATGTGTATGCACAAGCAGAGGCTGCATTGTTGTCGGGAGGGATGGAACTGCACTAATTTTGGGTATAATATCGAGATTTGTGCCAGTATGTAAATAGATCAGTGCAAAATTGATAAAATAAGTAAATATCATATGTAGGTATTGTAACCTGAGTGAGTCTTTACACCTGAACTTATGTGAATGCGTCGCACAAAAATAAAATACACGATAATATACATACATACTTACATAGGTATATGTACAATTCTTGAACGTATTTCTATATTTAATTTCATTACAAAAGCTTGTGCTATTGAAATAAATACGTCTTCTTGTTATGGGTTTCGATGGGGATTGATTAATACTTGCGTCATACGTTTACGCATGTACATACATACATTGTGTGTATCTAAGCATTATCTCACCATCTTGTCTCTTTTTCATGTAATGAATGGCAAACTTGAGTGGAGACTGATTTCCAAGAATTATGCACTGGAAGGAGCGTCAAGCATTTTTGCCTCGGGCATGTCCACAAATATCCATGTTATTCTATTTATTACCGAAGATGTATTGGCTACATGATAAATAAAAGAATATTTTTTGTCTTGTTTTCCTCCCATAATTTTTTGCAATGTCACATTTCGCATTGTACATACATATCCATTTATTCCCCGTGTAACGATTTCGTACATTGTACTTAACTACGTACATAACTCGAGTCTTGTACATTGTATTTTATGGAACTCGTGTCTTTGCAAAACACAAATAATGCCTACGTGCAAAATGAAAATATGTACATATGTGTCCCATGACGTTCGATTTTTGCAATGAACATTTCATTTTTTGCGGCCTCTACTCCGTAATAGTGGGTAGTTTCTGCACCTTAAGTACATGCATATATATATGAGCAACGTTTCCAAGTACTTATGTATGTAAGCTTTGCAAAACAACAACGACAAAAAAACACCGGTATGTAAATGTAAACCATTGACACGTGCAATTCTCATTTACGAAATATATGTATGTACATGTACAAAATCTTGGTATAAATTCGGACAGATTTTCTCAACTTTCTCAGTATTAACTACACACTCGAATCGTAACAAGCCACAATTTATATAAAACTACACATTCCAAGCAAAAATTAGCATTAAAACTATCGCCAAAATGCAGTCTTACATAGTTCCCCTCATCCTCGCTGTCGCAACCCTTGGTCCACTCGCCACCATGGCGCAATCGTCTCCCAACAACTCGACTGATGGGGAGGCTGGCACACTTTCGCCAATTTACTATCTTCAATTCATCCTCGCAAATTCTCTCGAACTCGGAGATTCCTGTTCCTGGAGTGACGAAGCCTTCCGTCAATTAGGAGCCCGTGTCATGAAACGGTATCCCAAGGATAGCAAACCATACGACCAGGCGTTCGACAACATTGTGTCCAGCACGGTGGAAAATGGGAGGACTTATTGCTTGGCGAAAGAAATGCTGGTGTGTGATAGGGATTCGCAGAAATGCGTTTGTGGCGAATCCGCAGTTCAAGTAAGTCTGGACATATTTTTTTAATGGGGGCATTTAGGATAACGTCTTACTTCGCAACGTAACTCGTTAAACTTCCAAAGCTCAAAAAAATTGTCGCGAACGAGATTCACAAAATATGATTTCGCAAATTTTGCAAATCTGTATTTACAAACAGTTTCTTTTGTGACGGAATGGAACCCTATTTTAATTCGGTTTCCATGAATTATTCTGAATTTATCAGGCATGGATGAGTTTGCGAAAAATCTTTCGAAATTAAAACATCCCCAAGTTCTAAGTAGGTAAATTTTCCAAAAAAATCCATTCTTTTTTCCTGCAAGATTTTTGCAAAATCTCCATAATTTCGCAAAACAATCGCTCAATTTGCGAGATAAACATACCAAGGCTGAACGTGAATACCCCCAATGCAACAATTAAAAAAATGAATTTTATTCTTTTATCTAATCAGGCCAGCCTTGGACTGAGGTACAAACCGAGCAGTTACGAATCTGAATGGGACGCTAGCACGGGAAAGAAAGTGTGTCGATTTTCCCGAGGGGCGTCATGTGATCCTCAAACAGCCCCCAAAAGACAGGCCTCCTTCGTCCCCAAGTGTGCGCAAGGTCTGACTTGCACCTATCTCAAGGATGGGACGTCATGCACAAATTTGTCAACTTTGAAATACGTGCTGGACGCGATTCGAAATAATGTGACGCGTGAAGAAGCGATGGATGGGATTCTCACCGGGAAGATGTGCCAATGTGTGAGTGAAGAAGATAACGGGCTGGATAATGATGAATTTGCTGTCACGAGTAATAATGGGCGATTTAGAAGAAGCGTGGGTCGAAATGGTGATGATATCTATGCACGCGCAAAAGCTACACTTTTTACGCCGGGAACGATTGAGATGTAATAATTTCGTAACCCTTTATAATTTAAACAAATGTTGATAATTTTTAGAATGATATTGAATTTATAAAACAATAATATTTCACTCTATGTATCTATTTATATTTAGTAACTTGTGTAAATAAAGTATGGCATAATTAAATCGCTAAATCATTTAATGGGTGAAAATTGATTTATTCTTATTTGTCTTCCTCCATTAAATTCAAATTTTTCCAGGGTCAAAATTCTCATTGTCTCCATTTTCTGGCAAGTAACTTAATTTTGCTTGTCAAAGGTGGACTAAGGGGACTTCGTGCAATTATTATATCTCCAAACAGCATCAAAATCGGTTACTGGGAATTGGTAAAGCTCCCCTAATTAGAGTTTCGCTTGGAGACGGGTTCTAATTTGGGGGTTTTGGGATCTTCTTTGGGTTATGAGTGCATAAATATGTATATTTACCTAAATCTTATGTATAATAAAATGATCATTCGTACTCTGCGAATACATTTCTATGTATGTATGTAGGTATACTAAATATTTACATTGAATAAACCTATATTTTAAATACGATAAATTTGCATATTTTAATAATATGAAGATTTTAAATTATACATTGTCGGATCTTGACAATCAGTGCAAATGAATTCTCAATTAAATACTTTGGTGCAAGATTCAACGTAAAATACTTTATTATTTCATTACGTACAATAACTTATACATGCCAACATATTACGCACATCAATTAAAATTAGCGTCCCCGTCTGCGACCATAGAAACCGCTTTGATAACTGATGAAACCAAATCCTCCCGAGTTGTGAATTGTAGGAACTACAGGTCGATCATTGTTTATATATTTCTTAATAGAATCCGAAATTGCTTGCTGTCTTTCCCTACTTTCATACTCCAACCTCCGTTTCTTGATGCGTTCTATTCTTCGCGCACGTTCATCTATGTATTATTTTACATATTATTAATTTTATTTATAATGAGGGTTTTCACAATTGTCTCGGTGTCCATAAGTAGTATCGTAAAACTGTTTTGTGCGAAGAAAAAACAAGGGATCAAGCTTCGTAAAAATCGTAACCTTAGTAACGCAATTTTTTTATAACAATGTCTTTAATCTACGTTTACAAAATCTTGAATCTTGTAATCGTCGTAACTTAATTTACGATATGGAGGATAATGAATACACCCAATGTACATATTTAGATTAATTGTCGTATTTAATACATACTATCCTCTTACTTGGACGTGTCACCTCATTTGCATAAATCTCACCATGCCCATTTTCGGCGATACGGGCTTTCCATGTTGAATATGCATAGCGTCAAAATATGCAAATGAAGTGACTAGCACATATAATTTTACTATGCATACCTTCGCCTTGTTCACCACCAGCAACAATGCTTGATTCAACTTTTGGAACTGAATCCATTGCATCATTATTAATGAGTTTATCCGGTAAAGGGTTAATTTCTGTAGTGAAAGAAACATCCTCTTGTCGCGTAACAGGTGTCACGGTTGAGTCTGAGAAGAATTCAGTGGTTTCCGTGCTTGTGGGTATTAATGATAAAGATAAAGTTATGTCTGTCAGGGCACAAAGTATTGTCCAAAAAGTAACTAATTTCAAAATCATGGTTGAGTTGATACGTCGTGCAAGAAGCAATATGTGTGTGTCGAGTAACCTGGTGAAAATTCAACTGAGGAATTAAATCTTGCATTTAAATCATTTTATATGTTTTCTTCTTCGCGCATTTTCCATGTATGTATGTAATTATGTATTCACTTTTTAGTGTTATCTACCTCGTAAAAAAACTACGATGAAAATCAGTGACGTTGAAAAAAATTGACCATTTGGCCCATGATTTATGAAGTGACGACAATGCAGGGCTCGAATTCTTGTTGTACGATATCTGAAAAAATTTTTTGGCATGATTGGATGCCTGTAAAACAATGAGGGGTACAAGAAATCGTTGAGGTATAGGTATTGTTAGCATTTATTTAAATCATGTACATATGTATACATACAAATTTATTATTCCATTCATGCAATAAATGAGGGTGTACTTTCAGTATCGTGGACATTGTTGCATGTAAATAAATTGATACTCATTTCAGATTTCTGTGATCAACTCGCATGGAAAGAACGTGTTTGGATTTAGAGGATGGTAACTAATATTTGGCTACAAAAAGGTGAAACTTTTCAGACAGAAACAGAAAGGTGAATGGAGATCTTCATGCACATGCAGAGGCGACATTGTTGTCCCCGGGAGGGATGACACTGTACACATTTTGGCGATAATATTGATATTTTGGCGTAAATAGATCAGTGCAAAATTAAGGAAATATCTATATTATAATTTCCAAAAGTCCGTCGCGTGGAATTTTCCGTCACATCCCTGCATTCTGATTGGCTGTTGAAATTCTGGCTCCACCAATCAGGGAAGATTCTATGTTTGAATATGATTTTGAATATGATTTTGGTTATGATTTAGGTTATGATTTAGGTTATGATTTCGGTTATGATTTCGGTTATGATTTAGGTTATGATTTAGGTTATGATTTAGGTTATGATTTAGGTTATGATTTCGGTCATGATTTCGGTTATGATTTAGGTTATGATTTCGGTTATGATTTCGGTTATGATTTCGGTTATGATTTAGGTTATGATTTCGGTTATGATTTCGGTTATGATTTGGGTTATGATTTCGGTATGATTTCGGTTATGATTTAGGTTATGATTTAGGTTATGATTTCGGTTATGATTTAGGTTATGATTTAGGTTATGATTTAGGTTATGATTTCGGTTATGATTTCGGTTATGATTTCGGTATGATTTCGGTTATGATTTAGGTTATGATTTCGGTTATGATTTCGGTTATGATTTAGGTTATGATTTAGGTTATGATTTAGGTTATGATTTAGGTTATGATTTCGGTTATGATTTCGGTTATGATTTAGGTTATGATTTCGGTTATGATTTCGGTTATGATTTCGGTTATGATTTCGGTATGATTTCGGTTACGATTTAGGTTATGATTTAGGTTATGATTTCGGTTGTGATTTCGGTTATGATTTAGGTTATGATTTCGGTTATGATTTAGGTTATGATTTCGGTTATGATTTCGGTTATGATTTCGGTTATGATTTTGGTATGATTTCGGTTATGATTTAGGTTATGATTTAGGTTATGATTTCGGTAATGATTTAGGTTAGGATTTCGGTTATGATTTAGGTTATGATTTCGGTAGTGATTTCGGTTATGATTTAGGTTATGATTTCGGTTATGATTTAGGTTATGATTTCGGTTATGATTTCGGTTATGATTTAGGTTATGATTTCGGTTATGATTTCGGTTATGATTTCGGTTATGATTTTGGTATGATTTCGGTTATGATTTAGGTTATGATTTAGGTTATGATTTCGGTAATGATTTAGGTTAGGATTTCGGTTATGATTTAGGTTATGATTTCGGTATTATTTCGGTTATGATTTAGGTTATGATTTAGGTTATGATTTCGGTTATGATTTAGGTTATGATTTAGGTTATGATTTAGGTTATGATTTAGGTTGTGACTTCGGTGGTTAAGTTAAAAAATTCCTTATCAACGTTAGAAAATCCCTTGACAACGTTAACAAAATTCCTTAATGTTTAAAAAATTCCTTAGCAACGTTAAAAAAATTCCTTAATGTTTAAAAAATTTCTTAGCAACGTTAAAAAAACTCCTTAGCAACGTTGAAAAAATTCCTTAGCAACGTTAAAAAAACTCCTTGGCAACGTTAAAAAAATTCCTTGACAATGTGTAAAAAAAATCCTTAGCAACGTTAAAAAAACTCCTTAGCAACGTTAAAAAAATTCCTTAGCAACGTTAAAAAAACTCCTTAGCAATGTTTAAAAAATTCCTTAGCAACGTTAAAAAATGCCTTAGCAATGTTAACAAATTCCTTGGCCACGTTAACAAAGTTCCGTTAACAAAATTCCCCCCAGCTACATATTTACTTCGTTGATCCTATGATTGGTTGGTTCGTTTAGGACCCTAAATTTAGACCGTCTTTAAGACGGGCTTATAGGCTAGTCTGTAAATAATTAACATAGGTATACAATTTGATTAAATCTAAGGGTTGATTCATAATTGATGGCACGGTTTTTTCGTGTACTCCAGCTTTAGCAGAGATTCAAATTCTTGTGAATGAATTGTTGCATATGATAGCCAAACCGATGTAGTGTTAAGGTTTTAGTTCAAAAAGGTTGGCAATTTAATAAGAACATCGTCAGACAAAAAGAAAAACAAGTCCAATCGCGTGGTGCACTTGTACAAAAAAGCGGCCAAATTGGACAGGAAAAAGACGCACCACCACCTCAAAAGTGAACATATTTCAAACCCCTCAATTTTTTGTTACACACCAATGTATGACTAAACAAAATCAGTCGAGTTAAAAAAATATATTTATCACCATGTGTGGCAGACCACATCCAAAGTCATCAAAGGAGTGTAAATAATTTTCACTGGACGCCATCCACTTCGGATCACCTAGCAGCCCAACGGGTGAAGATATCAAAACCAACTCTTCGCAGAATTAAAGCAGAATCGTTGGGGATTAGAACATCAAAAAACTATGTTCTCAAGATACGCTAAAGATGATAAATTAAGAGCCAAAATGGGACGCAACTAAATTTACGAAAAAGTGTCATCCAGAATATTTGTCAGTTGTGACGAAGTGTACATCACAATAACGTCACGAAAAGTTTGCAATTAGCAATTTCTTGTAGCTACGAGTGTTAGAGATGTCAAATATGAAGCTCAAATATTTCCCAAAACAAAATTCAGAAAAAATGACAGATTTAATTAGCATTCGACCAAAATGGAGAAATTTCAGAGCCCCTAAGAGCGGACTGGACCATGACCTCATCTCTTAATTTATCAGAATGTATCAAGCACCGATTAATTCCTTGCATAAATGAGCATTATTTGACCGTCAGATTTTGGTCAGATGAAGACACTTGCCATTAGGATTGAATTACATTATGTATAACCGACTACCTCAACGTGAAAAAAATTGGTTTTCTAACTAAATTGGAACATGTCCACAATGTTCCCGAAACAAGTGGGATTGAAAGATTTTAGGCTTCATTCGAAAGAGAACATTCATGACGACGGAAAAGGACAAAAATGCATCTTTGAATTCGACGTGTAATGAGTCAAACCTAAAGATTGTGGGGAGAAAGTCAGGAAAAGCAAAAATGAACAGGCCTGGAAAAACCCGTGAGAAATTTTGTTTAGAGGGTCGACGGAACCAAAGTGATTTTGGGCAATGTTCTTCATCGCATTTGTAACAATTATTAATAAAGTTGTTCACATTTCAACGTATCGTTTGGTAATGAACGCCTTTTCAAATCGTGCCATCAATTGTGAATCAACCCTTATATATTAAAAAAACCACAAAATCCTATTTTCTCTCTGAACTTACATATTTACTTTGCGATTTAAACTTATTCTTTCAGGCCTATCCAAAAACTTCTTTTTTGTGTTTTTGTCATAATTACATGTCATAATTCCATGTTAACTTAACTGATTCTTTCATCATCAAAATGTGGATAAGTAAATATGCTCAAATGTACCAATGAAAGAACTTATGTGTGTATATATACACGCAACCAAAGTTATGTTTCACCCAATTACAAAAGCCTATATGCTGTTTACATTTATGTATATACCTACATAAATATACGTTTTCTTCTCATGGGTTTCGGTGGGGATTGATTAAATAATATTTGCGTCATACGTTTACATAAATACATTGTGCACATATACATACTTATTTAAATCATATCTCATCATCTTGTATCCCTTCTTTATGTAATTGCAAATTTGAGTCCAGACTGATTTCCAAGTAATATATACGTACATACATACATACAGATGTACATACCTGGATGCGGCATCAAGCATTTTTGCCTAAAGCTTGTTCACAAATATGCATATTGGTATTGTACATATTTATCACCGAATGATAAATCAAAGTGTATTTTTTGTCTTGCTTTCCTCCGGTAATTTTTTGCGCTGTCACTTGTCGCATTTCGCATTGTTCATACTTATGTATTCATTTATTACTCATGTAACAAATTCGTACATTGTGTTTAAATACATACACAACTCGGATACTTGTATATGCACTTTATGGAACTCGGGTCTTTGCAAAACTCAAATATTGCCTACGTGCAAAAGAAAAATATGTGTACAATGACGTCCGATTTTTGCAATTTATTTTTTGCACCCTATACTCCGTAAAAGTGGGTAGTTTCAGCGCCTTATGCATACGAGTATGTAACATACCTCGAACGTTTTCAAGTACTTATGTAAGATTTGCAAAATAACAATGACAAAAAAAACCCCGGAATGCACATGCATGTACCCATTGACACCTGCAATTCTAATATGAAATGTATGTATCTATGTATGTATATGTGCAAAGCTGGTATAAATACGGACCCATTTTCCCATCTTGTCCAGTATTCAGTACACTCTCGAATAACGACAAGCAAAAATTTACATAACAATCATAACCAACAAAGATTCGCATTAAAATTATCGCCAAAATGCTGTCTTCCAGAGTTCCCCTCATCCTCGCTGTCGCGACCCTTTCTCCACTTGCCACCGTGGCGCAATTAAATTCGACTGACGGGGGCGGTTTCGCACTGTCGCCAATTTACTATCTCCAATTCATCCTCGCAAATTCCCTCGGATTCGGAGATTCCTGTTCCTGGAGTGATGAAGCCTACCGTCAATTAGGCGCCCGTACCATGAAACGGTATCCCAAGGATAGCAAAGGATACCACGAGACCTTCGACAGCATGGTGATCAGCACCGTGGAAAATGGGAGGACTTATTGCTTAGCGAAGGAAATGCTGGTGTGTGACAGGGATACGCAGAAATGCGTTTGTGGCGAAACCGCAGTTCAAGTAAGTTTCGAAGGATTTTTTTATTGGGGGTATTCACGACAAAGTCTTATTCAGCACCTTATTCAGCTCAAAAAATTTGTGTTGTGAGGAAATTTGCAAATATGACTCGTAAAGAGTTATGTTATCCTGTTTAAAGTTAGATTATTATATGAAAATTCTAAAGCTTTTAATACAGAGGATGACTTTGCGAAATAATCTTGCGAAATAACATGCCAAATTGCTAGGTTAATTTTCTTAAAAAATCCGTGTCTTTCTTGCAATGTTTTTCGAAAACCTTGCAAATTTAATAAAAATTCGCCAATTGTTTTAGTATGCTCTATTTGCAACATCTGCGAAGGCTGACATCCATACCCGCAATGTAAAAATTTTAAAAGCAACAAAATAAATTTTTATTTTTTCGTATTATTATATAGGCCACGCTTGGAGTCAAGTACAAAGCGAGCATTTACCAATCCGAGTGGGACGCCAGCACTGAGAAAATGGTATGCCGATGGGCAGGAGGGGCGGCATGTGATCCCCAACCACCTCCCACAAAGCAGGCTTCCTTCGTCCCCAAGTGTGCTCAAGGTCTGAGCTGTACCTATGTCAAGGATGGAACGTCATGTACGAATTTGTCAATTTTGAGATATATGCTGGATTCCATTCGAAATAAGGTCCCGCGTGAAGATGCACTGGATGGGATTCTATCCGGCAAGATGTGCCAATGTGTGAGTGAGGAAGATAACAGGCGTCAGAATGATGAGTTTGCTGTCACCAGTAATAATTCGCGATTTAGAAGAAGCGTGGGTCGATTTGGTGATGATTTGTATGCACGAGCACAAGCTACACTTTTTACGCCAGGAGCGATTGATGTGTAATAATTTTATGAAGCGTATTTATAATTTCAAGAAATTCTGGATTTTTCCAGCATTGTGGTGACTTGTATAAATAAAGTCCGGCGTTTAATTACTGCCGAATTTAAAAACGAAAAGTACTTTTTATATTTTAAGTACTTGCATTCGAACGCCAAATTTTAAATATCTTCATATTAATGATACACACATATTTTATTTATATTGCTCAAAAAACTTGAAGATACATATTTAAACTAAATTGAAACAATGTTACTCAGCCGGTATTTTATCTGTTTTATTACAACATGTCCAAAATGACACAAATTTTCTGTGCAATAAAATGATAATTCTTACTCTGCGAGTACATTTCTATATATGCTTACTAGATTGAATAAAGCCATGTTCTAAATAATATGTAAATATAAATATGCAGATTTTAATAATATGAATATTTTAAATTATGAATTGTATGTATGATCCTGACAATCAGTGAAAAAGAAAATCATGAAAACGAAAACTTGAAAATCACGTGTTCAGTGAAAATTAATTCTCAATTAAATACTTTGATGCAAAATACTTTATTATTTCATTGCATACAGTAATTTCTTTATTGTATTTTCTTCAAAAAATGTTTCTTAAAAAAGCATTACAGAGATATATTTGTTGTTGTCTGGTCTGAAACACCTTTCTCGTTATTTGCACTTTGCACCCCACCTGCCCATCAGCTTGAGAAGGATGGCGAACATAATCTTCAAAATATTCCAGTTAGTCTGCATATACAGCGAGAAAGTGGGTCCTTTCGAGGAAATTCTGGTCTTGAATTCGCCTTAAAAATATTTAAATAAACAAAAAATCAAATAATGAATTAATATTATATTATAAGCTGGAAATGTTTGATGGCAACGAAAGTGACAGTCATTTTCCGAAACGGACGTGAAAGTGGAGAAAGTTACGTTTCGAATGGAACATACATCTCCAGCTAAGAATGTATGTGAATACAATAGAAAATTAATTCTGTGCAATTATGAAAAATCCCACTCAGTTTCCATGATAATCAAATAAGCTATCTCCCGTACTCACGACAAAGTCTTATTTCGCAGCGCAACTTATTTAGCAAACTTGCGAAGATTAAAGTATCTATATTATAAGCTGGAAATGTTTGTCTGCAACGGAAGTGAAAGTAATTTTCCGAAATGGAAGTGAAAGTAAAGAACGCCAAGTTTCAAATGACGCTAAAAAAATTAAGTTAAAAAATTAAGTGTCAGAAGGTATGATACTCTTTGCTGTGTGGTCTAATGGTTATCTGTTGGTGGTGGTTATCGGGGGTGCTGATTACCTGGGGTAGGTTAGGTAAGCCCCCACTATCTCAATTCCAAATCAACTCTCTCCCGGCGGGAGAAGGGCTTATGCGCTAATATATTTATATTTCTGTTTTGAGGGGATTAGAAAAATACGAATTCGTAAATCTACTAAAACCGCCTAATTTGACGTTGGTTCCACGGATTTCTGCAATTTCTTGCTGGTGATGGTATGCATTTCAATGCGAAATATGAACATGTTCGTTTGCTGGGTAAATTTGCAGAAAAAATCTAATGGGTTTTATAGCAACATTTTTAAAAAATCTCGCAAATTTCTCAAAACTTCAGAAGTTATGTTGCTATGCTCAATTTGCGAGATAGGTATGTGAAGGTTGACGTGACGGCGGTAACTATGCGATTTGACTACAAAAATTGTGTAGGTCTCCCTGCACATACCCTTAGATGCAAATATCTCTGCCAAATCTGCGCTTTGGGAGATCGTATATTTCGCAAAATTTGATGTTAACTAAATTTTCGATCGATTGACATTACTTAATTTTGTCAAAATCTGAAAGACTTCACGAGAGAGTGGTACATATGTTCTTAGCCCAGATTCTAGCTAAAAATACCATTAATTTACCTCTCTGTTCCACTAATCGTTCCTCATAGCGTTTTATCGCTTCTGAAACCCCATCTTTTGTCCGATCGTCTCTCACGAGAAGGAACAAAAGGAGAACACTTTTAAAATTACATATCCTGCAAATTACCATCGCGTTATACTTATCGGTGACCAGGTAAAGTAAAATCTCGAGGATTTGTAGCCATGCGGAAATCCCATAAACGAGGAGCAACAGTTTAAGCTTCAATTGAAACGACTAACGACGCGCTCTAAAAAACCACGTGAAATAATTCAATTAAAAACACTTAAAAATAATGTTCCCCTTTTGACAACTAAATCTGAATTTAGCTTTCGAAAAGGTAACATTATTTTAATGTGTTGAGTGTATCATCTCATTTTTTTTGAAACTTTGGTAAGTATTTTACCCATTTTCGGCACCAATTTCGGAATCAAAATCGCAGAAAAATGCGGTGAATAAAGTAACCGCGACTGATACCACGAGGCCCGCATTTTTATGGACCAGTGACACCCACGTGTCCCAGACTTGAGGATACCCTACCGTACTGGCCTGACACTGGTTACTCCTATAAAAATAAATGTCACTTATCTTCCAGCCTTGTAAAAAAAATTTAGAAATATATTTATTTAGAGTCGCTTATTTCGACAGGGTAGTTTAAATGTCACGCTACAATGGAAAATTTTTCAAGGAGAAAAAATTCGTTGGTATCCATGGGTCAATGAAATTTTGTCTCTGAAATTCAACATTTTGAGAATTTTGTCATCAGTGGTCCATCAGTTTTGAGAATAATTAGTCAAAATGTCAGTCCTTAATCTTGTAACTAATGGAAATTTAGAGGCTTTTCCCAATTGAAAAATTTTCCATTGTAGCCTGTCACTTAAACCACCCTGTATGTACAATTACCTCAAATCCGTTGGCAAAAAATAGCAAAAACCGCAATACCATGCTGGAAAAATAATGCCAATAGTCGAGCACAAAAATATTTGGCATTTCGAACTGTCCTCGCCACGTTTCCTGCGAGAAATATAAACAAATTATTTAATCTTCTTATTTACATCCTGCGAAATACATACGTCGTGAATTAAATTTGCTTTAAAATAATTAAATTTTATTTATTTTAATCAGGGTTCGGAAAAACCCAGGGTTTTAATCAAAAAGTAACGACCCAGGGGTTTTATTGGGTTTTATTAGGTTTTCCATAATTAATACACTGAACAAAAATTTTCACACCTATTGCAATCCAATTCCAGTCTTTCATATGCAAATCCTCATTGTCCATGTTTATGTATTTATCTGTTCCGAAAGGGTCCTATTAACTGATCATAATTTAATACTATTTGCGACCATAATTATTACTTTTTCCCGAATACTTCCTCTCATAATAATGAAATCCAATTTGTTTTAAGTTTTTAAAATTTAATGCTTCAAAGCGATCTTAACGTGCATGGAAAAAATGGAGTATTTATAAACAACGAAAGCACGTATTATGTCGAGCATATAAGAAGTGCTTTTTACAGATATACTTCTTTTGCTCATAATAAAGTATTTCGCTGTCCATAAGTACTCGATTTTTCCAGAGGTGATAATTCAGATCGCTTTTAAACATTAAATTTAAAAAACCTTCCAAATTAAAAAAAATATAATATTTTAAAAAAATTATTCGTACCAATGAAATAGTGTATGAGAGGAAGTATTGGGGAAAAAAGTATTAAATTATGTATGATCAGTTAAACATTCCCCGTTCCGAAATTAATTTTTTGTATCACTTGAAACCTTTGATGGTAATGGATGGTATGCTTTTGCTGATTTATTCCTGGTTTTCAAAACTTACAGTATTAATAAACTAAACTGCATAGCTGCCGTCAAACAGCTTCGTCTAATGTATGACAGCTGTTTTTAACTTTTAGAATATAGTTTTAAGCTAAAACACAGTTAAAATCCATTAAAACCCAAATAAAATCCATTAAAACCCAAATAAAACCCATTAAAACCCAAATAAAACCCATTTAACATGGTAAAACCCAATGGGTTTTATTCATTAACAACCCATTAAAACCCATTAAAACCCAAAAAACCCAACCCAATAAAACCCTGGGTCGGAATACCCTGATTTTAATTTACCTTTTAAAAATTAAAAGTGATAAGAAGAAGGCTTGCGAAATGTGAATAAATTTGTGAAACGCGTCTATTTAGACAAGCAAATCACCAATTTAGCATCAATTATTTCAAAAAAACTCTTTAAAATAATGTTACCTCTTTGAAAAGTAAATGCAGTCTGAATTCTTAATTACATAAACTGTACTAAATCCAGCGTAAACTTAACTCTTTACCTAGTTAACGTTACTCTGGATTTAGAATAGTTTAATTAATACAGAATTCAGAGTGCATCTACTTTTCAAAAGGGTAACATCATTTTTAAGAGTGTGATCCGCACCCAATTAATTTCACCTTACCTACCGCGGGGCAATATTGTAAATAATTCCGATCAAAATAAATCGCATCGGATACAACATCCTGCTCAGTATTAATCTCTTGAACAATTTCCACCGAAATTAGTTGCATCTCCAACCCAACGAAATTTAAGAGGCAAAATAATTCTACATCGTTCCCACCCCACGTGACACACAGGCAGATAAATCCTGCCAGAGAAAAAATCAGGTAGCTCGACTGTGTCAAGTAGAGGAACAAATTTCGCAAGTTTGTCGGCCATAAGCTTATCTGAAAGTAAAATATTATTTTTCCAAGGTTTACATCTTATTTAAAAAAGGTCGAACTCGACTGACTCATCGCCAAAATCAGTGGGAAAGGTAGGAAGACCCAAATTACCCACCAATTAAAACGAAGATATAATATATGTACTTACATAGCCATCAGTCAACCACGAGTCAATAAAGAATCTCCGAATCTTGGGAAACTTTAGAAACGTTTCCGAGTAAAACGTACTAACGACTCGTTCCTTACGCAGACAACCTTTATTAAAACAATTAACCTGGGTACGTCATCCACCTCAATGCGTGGCAAGGAGTCCCAATAATTTATCAGCTCATTGTAGTCCAAAGTGTGATTATCTGAAGCATCCTTTTCATCAAAATATCCGGTTTGATTTACCCAAATTTCTATACTCTTGGAAAGAGTGGGTCTTGCAGTTTTTAAATAATCTTGTACCCTCTCGTTCCAATCACACGTGTAATTTATAGGTTCCAAATTATAGAAATTGAGAGAAATCACGGGCACAAGGAATATGACGCCAGAAAACAAATATAACAATATTGTTATTAAAATTGAAAAATATTGTATTTGTAGCGACACCATTATTACAGATTTTTAATTATTTTATTAAATATTATCACAATTGATATTAGCCTTGTCTTCTGCATACATAAGTAAACTGAGTGAAATATTTCATTCTATTCATTATCAAAAGGTTACAAATTCTTCATGTTTTTTTTGCTCTTAGTACCAATAAATCAATACCACGTTCGTATATACCTACATATTTTACTGGAAGAGGTATTGCATATTGACACTCTAAGAAATGCGGTTACGATTACTGAGGGTTAGTCTAGATTACAGAACGTGTCGAAAACTATTAATTTTTGGGCGAAATATTCGTTGTTGGATATTTTGAATGATTTTATCGTATTCCTCATCCTTTTCTCATGAGGAATGAAGTTATCATTTCCAAAAAGCATAGCTTTTAAAGCCGGCAGCAGATTTTCTTTGAACCACTGTTCATCTAAAAGTTTGCAAAATGCATAAAAAAATTTTATGTCAATTTGAAAAAAGTGTCGATCTGAAGTTTCAAATCAGAATTAAAGCACTGAAGGCGCATAACCGGACGTAACTAGTTTATCTTTATGCAAAATAATTTAAATTCCGAATATTAAAAACAGAATGGCTGCGTACAGGGCGGTAATCCGAGCGCTCTCAGAAAAAAAGTTTCGCGTCAACCTCATATCTTCTGATCCTCGCTGAAGTTGTGTATATCTTGGTGAATAATTCAGTTCAGTGTACGCCCAGGGACCTGACACTTCGTTGCCAGTTGATTTTGAATTGAGAAAAAAATTATTGCCTTGTCCACATCAATTTTTCTTACGAGCGTCGGGTTTCTTACAGTTCGGGGAGCATGCGTTCGACGAGTGTGGCACCATCAAATTTCTTGCCTGGTTCCTTTTTTCAACTGAATCCTTTATTTTAGATATTGTGCCATTAGAAATGACAGTTTTTTCATTCTGGAGTTGGTCTAGTATTGTTTTGTACGTCATTATTGGTTGGCAAACTATTTTAACGGCATGGAGCTCTTTAGGGTCAATTTTTGGACCCATCTTTAAAATTTCGAAATTGAGCTATTTGGTCACGGTGCAGCTTGAACCGAGCTTCCAGAAAAGTTTCGAATATTTGGAATTGGCGCCATTGTTTAACGTATATGGGAAAATTGCTACACGTTCTGTAATCTAGACTAGCCCTCAGTATAACCAGAAAATGAACATATACTTATGACTCTACCGAGATGGCTATAAATTCGCCACCGACTGGTAATAAACTTATCACCAAATTGGTGACCATTGGTGACACCAATGGTGTTAAATTTGTTACTAGTTGTGATAGATTGATAACCAGTTGGTGATACCGCCAACGATATGTTTGCGGTATGTTTACAAATATTACACCCTAAATAAAGTTGTGCAAAATTTACTCAAGGTTGGGCGAAAATTCTGTAACGTTGGTGAAATTTTCACTTTCATACCTATTTCAAATTTTACGCACCTGTCGTGTCATCGCAAATTTTATTAGAGTGTATGTACCTGTACATTTGTAATTAATCACTCATGGCAACGAATCCGAAAAAAATTAGCAATGACATTTTTCAAAGGTATGCACAAACATATTCACGTTGTCTCGAGTGTTTAGTATTCTCATCGCCTGTGAAACCATTGTCGCGGTGTACATATGTACACAAAAAATTATAATTTGATTAATTATGCACACGAATATGTATGTAGGTAAGTATTGTTTTTTAATATGTACATATGTCAAACCATCATTATGTCATAGCAACCACTTAACAAAAAAATACTTTGGTTAATTATGCACACGGATAAGTATGCATGCACAGATTCGAAGAATCTCCTCAGTCTCACCGCAAATACAAATTTTGCCCCACGTTAATCTTCTCTCGTTAAGTACATACTTAGATAATAGACAATTTATTCAACACATATTATTTAATTCGCAATTATCCTACGTTCCTAAAATTTTAAAGATAATAATCCTCCAAATCAATCAATATTTCACGTGTTTAAATAATTACTTAAATAATTATTTTCCAAACAGCATCACTCTTAGAAAACTGGTATTAAATCATTACTGACCAGAGTATTTACATATGACTCTAACCGGCGAGAATTACGGTTTTTCATTACCACGACATTTTTAGTAATGTCGTGGTAATGAAAAACTTACCACTCAGAAACAAACTAGTACCAATCCGGTAAGAAGTTAAATATTACTAAATTAAGATCAGTACGGAGTATCTTAAGTATGGAGACTTGACCAGATTTTTAACAATGCACGAATGTATGTAACATATAAATTCGAACCAAAATACTTACTTTTATCACATTTATGAATTTCAAAAATGCAATTTAAACAACCTCTAATTTTGGTGGTGCTCCTGACCTCGTCCTTTCTCATTTTATCCATTCCTTTCTGGATTTTCGACCTCAATAACGACACTAGCATCGTGCCTCGATGCGATTTGAACCCTTCAGTGGAAAATATAACGGAAGAAGTTAAAAAACGGAACGGGCAAAATTTCACGTATCCCGACCTTTTGCAGTTATACGGAGAAATCACGAAATATTTTGACAATAGGAATTTCTCCGATTATAACGACCTCATCCCGTATATCGTGTACAACTCGACGTTCTACGATCTTATGCAGTTCACTGAGATGATGATTTATTATACGTGCATTAATAACACAAAGGAACAGTTAATGTTCTTGGTGAAAATGGACGAGTTGTATCCGGAATTTTATTCTTACTGGAAAAGCAAGGGGGAAAAATACAATGATCCTAAAGTAAGCATAAGTGAGGTTATGCATGTGTATGCACTCGAAATAAAAGTTGTCTTAAATTTAATCTTGGATAAATTTTACACAACAAAATTTGACTGTCAAATTTTGCACAAGTACAATTGAATTTGAGAATAAAGTTTAAAAATCCCTTAGAAGAATTATTTTAAGGAATTTTAACTAATTTTTATATACATGTATGTATAAATTCCTTCAGAATTTTAGCATATAATTTGAAAATTTTAAAACTTAAACATAGAAAGATAATCTTTTTTCGTTCCCCACCAGAAACCCTTGGAACAAGTCAGGCTGTATTATCAAATCCTCCTCGTCAATTACAGCGTCCAGGTCGTACACTCTACATAAATAAAAGTTGTGGAAAATTTACCCAACGTTGAGAACATAGAAGTTGTCCAACCGTTGTGTAAATTGTAGCCAATTGTTGCCCCCTTTTTTGACCGGTGGGTAAATTGTAGTTATTTTTATTTAGAGTGTATTTGCGATAATGATCGCAACGACATATCTCCTTTTGTGGGAGCGCCACTCCCTTCACGGCTACCTCCAGTTGTGCTACGTCCTTGTGGAAGCCGTCCACAGAACTGGGAGACTTATCTATGTCGCATACTTTGCCAATGATAAAGGTCTCGGAAACCAATATATTTACAGCGCGAAATATTTGACGAGATGTGCCAAATTTGGTAAGAGCAAAATAAATAGCTACATCCATTCCAGCCATTTCGAACAAAATTTCAAACACACTTAGAAATCAAGTATTAAAATTATGTATGCCAAGCTGTCAAAACCAAGCTGTTAAATATTTATTATAATTACTATTACTTTGAAAACAGAGTAAAATTTTTTCTAAAAAATGCAGATACATTTTTCGGGTACATCCACACCTCGAGACAACTATGGCTAACGATTTTGGTGTTCGACTTGTGGAAAACGTTCGGAAGAAGGATTTCTCTCCCAGGAAATAGAAAATTAAAATTTGTCAAATATTTTGGTTTCGCCGTTCTATCGCCAGCGGTATACATCTGTGCCGGATTGATATTACAAGTTTCGGTGTGGTAAGCAAAAATTAGTATGTACCCTTTTAGAAAACTGATATTATGTAAATCATTACTGGCCGGAGTACATATATACATACGTGCACACATGTGTATGTATAGATGTTATCGAAATTTGTAAGGGCATTACCGCTTAGTAATGTTGCGATACTGAAAAATTGACGACTCATAAATCATTCCTGTTAAAAAATTCTTCAAAAATCCTTCAAAGTCATTCAAAACTCATAAGGGAAGGTCCCCGACTGCTTATCGTGTCCAGGGTATCCACTATGTTTTTTAGAATCTACTAGGACCCCAGATGAAGGATTCATTCATATTTCCGTGTAAAACTCATATTTGGCGCCGTGCCGTGGCGCCAAATTCGCCAAATTTGAATGTTTTTATTTTTGAAACCGCCATAACTTTTGAAATCCTTAACAATTTTTGGAAAAAATCATGACAAGGAGTTCAACTTTCGTATTCCATGAAATTTTTTCCAAAATTATCACTTTTAACTTTTCGCAAAATTTCGAAATTTTCTTAGAAATGGGGGTTCGTCTAAAAATTGCGAAAAATATCTCAAAAATTAGAAATTTGTTATTTTTATTTTTTCTCAAAAATTTCGACTTTTGTGTTCATTTTAAGCATAAAAATTTGAAAATCCGGCATAAACTGCAAAAGTTATGAGGGTTTGAAATTGGTCGAAAATGCAAATTTTTAAGTTTGGCGCCACGCCATGGCGCCAAATATGAGTTTTACACGGAAATATGAATGAATCCTGTGGTAAATAATGAACAACGATACAACACGACGGTTGCCAATCGACTGATAATTTATTGTCAACATGCAACATGATTATATAGACATCATGAGTAATAGAATATGTATTAATAAATGTATGAAACTGTTCCTCACGACACTTTCCAAAGTGTCTGACCTAAATAGAAAGGAAGTGCTAAATCCTTCTCCCAAGAATGGGAATGCTAAGAATGAGCTGACACTGTACAAAGGTCCAATAAAGTCGGTGCCATAAACATCCGTTATGAAAGGCTACTTGAAATAGCTAACCTAAATACCTAATATTAGATCATTTTATCCAACACTCTCCCTCATTCGCATTATTGGGAGTCCTCATCTTCTTCAATCTCTTGATTCCTCAGTGGCTTTGGTTTTGTTACCACTTTCACCTTTATCTTCCGGTGGTCCAAGTAGCACTTGGTGAGGATGCACGCCAGGACTATGATGACCACGAGCAGGGTTATGATCAATCCAATCTCCATATGCCAGGTTTCCGAATGGGTCCACGTCTCTCCCTTGCTGAAGACAAAGTGGTTGTTGACCATCGGGTCTTTCATCAGTTCCTGGTAGTCCACGCGCGGCTTGAGATAAGCATTTGTCCTCATCGTGAAGAGTGGGTCTGGGCTGTCCTGGTGTTCGATGTGCACGATGGATCCCGTAAACTCCTGGTTGTTGATCCGAAATCGAGCTCCAATGGGCAGGATGAAGACCTCCTTGGGACACTCTTGCGATAAGTTGTCAATTGTAATGTTGCATCCAAAGCAGTACACATGTAGGGACCCGTGATGTGGCTTGACTTGTATGAAGTCTTCTGCATCTTTCTCTCCTCTCCCTTGACAGTGTTTCACAGAGAAATAGGAATTTTCACTCTTGTTCTTGAACCCCTTCAGGCAGTCTTGCGAGGAGGAAAGAACCAGGTCGTACATGCGGGATGTCTTCAAATTCAGGGCGACTGGACATCCTTCCTTCTTGGAGAGAATAGCATTCTCTGGTCCGTTGTAGGTGATTCTGCATGTCTGGTTCCAGGTTTGTAGCATCAAGTCAAATGCGTCAGCTTCAACCAATTGCAGCGCCTTGTTGACCTTTGGCATGTCCATTTGAATGTACAGGTCTTTCATGTCTTCCCCGAAATAGCATCTCTTTCCTGTTGCGAGTGAAAGTGGACACTCATCTTCTCCGCATGGAAGAGTTATGTTGAAATAGTCCATCATCCCGTTTAGGATTTTCTTATTATTCCAGGCCCGGGTTGCTTCTTTAATAACCTGTTTCCCCATCATCAGCTTCGTAGTTATGTAGGAAATGGTAAAGTAAGTGTTGGGGCCCTTCTCTGTTATTTCGTTCAAATTCTTGTCTAGGACTTCGTGGTCCTTAACCAAAATGTTGAAATCAGTTCGCAATTTTTGCAAGGCAATTTCAGTGAAATTCATCTGCTCCTCCAATTGATTAATGGATTTTTCTTGGAGACTTGAAATTTCTTCCAGATCTGAAATTCTTGCTGCATTGTTTGCTGCCAGCACCACTCCCCCAATGCCAAGTCCAGTCACCACCACAGCGCCAAGAGCAATCAGGGCCACCAGGATGAATCTCTTCGGTCTGTGCTTGCTCATACTGAAGTTATGGAAAGAAGGACACATCTGCTTCATTTCATGGATGAAATAAGTCTCGTACATCTCGTTGCATATTTTCTTTGCAGTCTCCAGTTGTCCTTTCGGTACGATTTCTTCAGTGAGCAGGGTGCATGGGCTGATTAATTTTATCCTTAGGTAGACCGTCTCATATCCAGAAATTACAGGAACAGGGCTTCCTCTCCAGAGAATGGGTTGGGAGTTTTGGATATTCACTCCCTGTGTTACTCCCAAGAGACACATCATCATTGCCCAGGTCCAGAAGAGACTGCCCCCACCTCCCCTTGGTTTTCGGTTGACGGGTTTCAGGCCAATCTTCTCCACCATGTCAGCATGTTTGGACTTTCCCAATGGTTTGGTGAGAATATCCGCCTTCTGGTCTTGTGTGGGAGTGTAGACCACTTCAACTTTCTTTTCTTCCGCCAATTGCCTCGTGTAGTGGTATTTAACATCCACATGCTTTGTTCTTTTATGAAATTCGGGATTGTCCACAAGCCGAATTGCGCTGGTATTGTCCACCATTATTGTTGTTGGCTCCTCTTGTTCTCTTCCAATTTCCTCTGCAAATTTTCGCAACCAGGCGACTTCCTTCGCTCCGGCGCACAGAGCGGTGTATTCCGCCTCTGTGGAGGAAAGGGTGACCACATCTTGCTTTTGGGAACACCAAGTGATAAGCGAGTCGTTCACGAACGTTGCAAACCCAGTGGTGGACTTCCTGTCATTCTTGTCCCCGGCAAAGTCAGAGTCGGTGTAGGCACTGATTACGAACTCAGAATTGCATTCGTATTGAATCCCCAGAGTGCCGGTCCTTCTCAGGTACAGGAGGACATCTTGAGCTGCATCCCAGTGGGTCTTGTCATAGCATGTGTTAAATTGCGATAGCTTCGTCACAGCATACGCGATGTCTGGTCGGGTTACACGGGCCAGGAAGAGAAGTGAGCCGATCAGTTCCTGATATGGGTATGCAGTGTCACAATTTTCAGCTTTCACCAAATCCAAATTCTGCTTCATTGGGACGGACGCAGTCCTGCGCTCGGTTATGTCGTACTTTTCCAGTAGAGCCTCAGTGTACTGGTGTTGGGCTAGTGTCATCGTCCCACCCTCAATGGTGATTTCAATTCCGACGAACACCTCCAAATCTTTTCGTGTGATCTCGAACGCCTTTTTCATGGCGTCCACAACAAACGCAATTGCTAGCTCGCTCTTTGATGTCACAATTCCATCGTCCACGTACAGAACGACGATAACTATGAATCCAAAAATGACACCGATGAACACGCAAGGGTCGCTGTGTGTAGGAAACAACCCAATGCTTTTCAGGAAATCTGAGAAGGTCCTATTCCAGCATCGTGAGCTTTGCTTCAATCCATACAGGCTCTTGAGAAGTAGACACACCAGATCATCCCCGTCTATTTCGAATCCCTCTGGCTGCGACATGAAAATCTCTTCATCAAGGACGCCATTTAAGTACGCTGTCTTCACGTCGAATTGTTTGTATTTCCACCCATCTGCTGCTGTGAAAGCCAGAATGAAACGGATGGATTCAAAACGAGCCACCGTTGAGAAAGTTTCCTGGTAGTCAACCCCAAACTGCTGTCGGTATCCGCGCACGACGAGACGAGCCTTGAATCGTTCAATCTCGCCATTCATATTTTTCTTGATACTGAAGACCCACTTTGGTTCCAGAACTTTGGCGTGACGAGGTCTCGGTACGTATTTCCAAGTACGATTCCCCTCCAGGCTGCGCATCTCCGTTTTCATCGCTTCCATCCATTTTTCTCCCTCAGGCTGAGAAATAGCATCTTCATAATTCCTTGGAATTGTAGGAGATGAAGCCACGAACGATTGGTACTTTTTAGGAGGTTTGATCATGTCCTTTGACCTCAGTTTCCTGGAGGGGATCTCAATCTTCTTCTTGTCTGGGTCGTACTCATAGTTCCCCTCTGGAGTTTCGACCAGAATTGTCGTCTCCCCCTCATCATCTGCATCCATGAAAACCTCTTCCTCATCTGGTTTTGTGGTATGAGATGAAGTGGACTGGGATGATGCATCATGAATCTTCTCTTGCTGCTCCTCCTGCTGTTGCTGCTGCTCATTTTCATGTTTCGCATCATCCTCCTCTACCTCGTAACTGGTTCGGACTCCTCCGTCCTCAAGGAAGGATACATTCCTGGCTGGAACAACTTTCCTTTTCTCCGGAATGTAGACTTTAAATTTGCGTCCGAAGGTCCCATACCCCACTAGCTTGCCTATTCTTGCCTTCGGATCCGACGGGTCTCTGTCCTCCTCCGGAATTTGGGCGTAAGCTGTGCATCCAAATGTACGGACATGGCTCAGGTCTGGAGGCCACCCAAAAACTTGCTCAAAGGGTGTGCAGTTGGGTGAGTTCCGGTTTGGGAGACGGTTGAGTATGTACACGGCGAACCCCACGGCTTCCTCCCACATGCCCGGAGACTGTCCTGCCTTTATGATCATCGTTTTGCTTGCTTCCTTCACGGTCCTCATGTCCCGTTCAATTAGCCCATTGGTCTCGGGACAGCGAGGTGCGGATGTTTGATGCAGGATTCCTTGGTCACGGAAATAATCTTGCAATTCTCTGCACATAAATTCTCCCCCATTGTCGGATTTGAAAATCTTAATGTTCTTGCTGGTCTGGTTTTTGAACATTTTCAAAAAGTTGATGATGTTGGCAGCAGCATCACTCTTCTTTTTCAAGAAACACACCTGCCGGAAACCGGTCTTCTCATCCTTGAGGAGAAGAAAGTAATTTGACCCCTGTAGAGACGTGGTGGAGTCCTTGCCCGACAGATCGGCGTGGATAACATCCCCCGGCTGCAGGTTCTTATTCTTCTCCCTCTCTGGAAAAGGCTGTCGTGTCTCTTTCCCCAGATGACAATCCGAGCAGTGAAAGTCCGACGCAAGATCTTCCATCTTGATCCCCTCAACTGCCCCAACTTTCACTGCATTTTTGATGTAGCCCATATTGACATGGGCCAATCGCTCATGCCACAATTTCGTCTTGTTGATGGTGGCTGAGTATGCAGAGTTTTTCGGGACGCGGAAACCCATTACATAATTTCCATTTAGCCACCAAGCTTGAGGTCCTTGTTGCCCCTTGAAATAGTAAGTGGTCTTCCCGTTTTCTTTCACGATTTTGAACCCCTTCTGGTCCATGATCCCCTCGCTAAAGAGGTTCACGGCACCAGGAATATAGTGGGCGTTGTGGATAGATATGGGATACCACTCCCCCTGCACCCAAGCTTCCACTTGTACGGTCCCCTTCCCCAGTGCCCGGATGGAGGAGTTGTCCGTGATGCTGACAGGAATGGGATTCTTGAACTCTTTGTAGTCCGTCAGCCAATCCTTTCTTCCAGTGATATGGAACGAGGCCCCGCTGTCACTAATCCATCGGGTGCTCCCCTCTTCCATCTCATGCCCCCCCAGGAACGCTTGGCAATCCCCAGGACCCTCATTCTGCTTTTTGTTGTTTTTACGGTTCTGCTTGCGGTTGGAGTTGTTGTTATTGTTGTTGTTGTTGCACTTAGCCTCATCACCCTCTTCCCTTTTGGGTTTACGGCATTCCCTCGCCCAATGTCCCTCTATACCGCAGTTCCGGCACGCCCCTTCTCGTTTCTTCTTCTGGGGTTGCTGCTGTTGTTGCTGCTGGTTGGATTTTCCTTTTTGGAATTTTTTGTTACCATTTTGGGCGTTGAAGGCGATGTTGAACTGCTGCTGCTCCTCCCCGCCTTCACCGTTGGCCTTAAATGACAGTTCCTCATTTTTGATTCTTGCAATGAGATTTGCCATGGTCTGACTTGCGGCGTCAACGCTGCCCCAGGCCCTTTTAAACGCGTGAAACTTCGACTCGGGAAGAGACGATACAGCCTTGATGACCAATGCTTGTGCAGTCACCGGATTCCCCATCTCTTTAAGAGCTCTCGCCAGCTCCTCCAGTTCACCGCAGGCTTCCACCGCAGACCGATCTTCAGAAATCTTAAAATTGTAGAACCTGGTGAGCGTCCGCTGCACGTTCAGAATGCTTGCATCGGAATTTACTTCCGCAATCTTTTCCCAGGTAGTTTTTGCTGAGTCGCATGCATAGATATGCGCCATCTGACCTTGCTCAAGTAGCTGAACAATGAGCGAGCGAGCTCCCACGTCGTTCTCGTCCCACTTGTCCACGTCTGTTTGGTTGCTCCCATCGGTCTTGAGGGTTGGCTTCTTCTTCGTACCATCTATGTACCCCCAAACGCCCCCAGCCTGCAACGCCAAGGTGACCTGTAGCTTCCAAGGCTGGTAGTTATCCCCGTTCAACTTGGGAATATGAGACGTCTCAACTTTCTTCATGATGATGACTCTCTTCCACGCTACCACTCGAATCTTGATTACGTATCTAGTTACACACCACTGCTGCAACTTCACACTGTGTAAACTACTGTGTACTGTGTAAACTGTGTAAGTATGGAGCTGTGTAATTTGACGATTATTATTTCACTACTCGAAGTAAGAATAAACGCGACGTTTTCGCGAAACTTGACGACTTTATCCTTAAACGCGAGTCTGGACAAACCAGTTTTGACGACAACGAGAAGGAGTCTCAGAAGAGTCTCAACTTTCCCGAAAAGTGAGAAGGATTAGCTAAAAGCTTTTACCTGGCTAATGCCCTCTGTTAGAGCATACCCAACCTCTCACTCTGTCTCAAAACGTAAAACTTGAGATAACTCGAAAATCTCAACTTGCCTCTTGTGCGATCGAAAACCACGATTAAGATACCATGTGGTAAATAATGAACAACGATACAACACGACGGTTGCCAATCGACTGATAATTTATTGTCAACATGCAACATGATTATATAGACATCATGAGTAATAGAATATGTATTAATAAATGTATGAAACTGTTCCTCACGACACTTTCCAAAGTGTCTGACCTAAATAGAAAGGAAGTGCTAAATCCTTCTCCCAAGAATGGGAATGCTAAGAATGAGCTGACACTGTACAAAGGTCCAATAAAGTCGGTGCCATAAACATCCGTTATGAAAGGCTACTTGAAATAGCTAACCTAAATACCTAATATTAGATCATTTTATCCAACAAATCCTTCATCTGGGGTCCTAGTAGATTCTAAAAAACATAGTGGGTACCCTGGACACGATAAGCAGTCGGGGACCTTCCCTTGTGAGTATACCGATTTTTAACTGAAGATTTTCATTCATATTCAGTCATTTTCTTTCAAACACATTTTATTTCGCGTCATCAGACTTAATTTCTTACGTCGATCGGAGTTGACCTATGTATATAGAGTAGGATTAAAAACGATATGAGCGAAAAATCCGGCATTTATAATTCCACCCCCACTAAAACTAAAATGCCATTAAAATCCAAATAAAAACCAATGGGTTTTATTCATTAACAACTCATTAAAACCTATTAAAACCCAAAAGACCCACCCAATGGTTTCTTGGTCGGAATACCCTGATTCCTGTTAATTCGTCCATATTTTTATGAATGCTTAAACAGGGGCTACGATTGTTACCACCTTCTTGACCGGAATAAGGTTGCGTTTCAAATTTTGAGAAATACACCTTCTGTATTTTTCTTCGGCTGCAACTTATTTTTCGTCATTTCTTGCTACCGGAAATCTAAGGTGATGCAAAAAGAGGGAGAATTTGCGCAAAGAAACGTGACCAGTCGGACGGACAGCAGCAGCAGGTAATTAATAATTAACTTTACTCTATTTGATATATATGTAAATTCACTATTAGAAATCTGGTATTAATATATGAAGGTACATCATTAACTAAATAAATTTTCGTCTCAATTTTTACTCATACGCGGACATGCTAAAACAGATATTTATTCAAAATTCATTCAAGTTAAAAATGGAAAAAATTCAATTAGGGTAACAATTTTTGGCATTATTCGGGATTTACGTATTTGATTTCTAAAAAAATACTTATTAATTTATCCAAAGTTTAAAATAAATCTTGGTTCATTATTTATATTTTATTCATTCTTATCTCCAGTTCGTTGTATTAGATGGATTTCTAAATACACCCAACCTGCTAAGCATAAAATGAATCACAAATAAAATTATTTATTCATTTGTCATTAATATGAATAAATATTTATTCAGCATTTATTGATTCCAAAATTTTATTCACTCATTATTCATTAATTTTTCAAGTTGTAATGAATGGACACATTTTTCATTCTCTTTTGAATAGATGAATGTGGAAATATGCTTTCTTGACGTGGACGAAACATTGAGGCGGCAATTATGTATATTAGAGCTGAATTGTTATAGAAATAGTTCGAAAATAACAACGGATACTATCCCATTTGATTTCTGTCTAATTTTTACAATATTTTTGCACTTCCCGCTCTGACAGGCTTCGTCTTTACATCAAGCTTCTCCTCGTGGTTTCCGATTTTGCATCCCAATAATCGACGAGATCCTTGATTTAGTTGACATCAGTCCCGGCTCCTCTTATGGTTCAATTATTCTCAACAATGTCTCCATTTGTCACAGCTTTTTCTTATTTTTGGTCCTAATGCGGCACGGACAGACGAAGCTTGGGCTGAAAGAAGTTGTCGTTCTGGAAGAGGGAAAACTGCTAAGAAACGCGGGTAAATTGCTAGCATACATAATTGTATGTATTGTTGGTTGATTGATTGATTGATTGATTCATGCTTTATTCAAGTGTCTAACAAGTTCACAGTAACAAACCATGCTCTTCCACAAGTGACACGTTTTGTTTTAACTTATTATTTTTTTATAGAATTTCTATTTGAGAATGCGTCAACTGGGAAGCTCGCGTTGGTTGCCTTTTATCAATTAAAATGTGGCTGGAACTTACTCAAAATTCGAATTGTTCTTGCCTTGATAAAATTAACAATTATTTGTAGAAACATAACTTGTAAGGGGAGGTTGTGTAGATGTTTTTAACATTTTCAATCCATTACAAAAGCTAGTGCTACATATGTAAATAAATACTTTTTCTTGTAATGGGTTTCGGTGGGGATTGATTAAATAATATCTGCGCCATACATTTGCATAAACACATTGTGCACAATATTTAAATCATATCTCACAATCTTGTCTCCCTTCTTTATGTAATTGCAAATTTGAGTCCAGACCGATTTCCAAGTATTATGCATTCACATTCACCTGAATGAATCATCAAACATTTTTGCCTCAGGTATGTCCATAAATACATATCCATGTTACTTTACATACATATTTATTACCCAATATTAGCAAACATGATTATCAATCAAAGTTTATTTTTTGTCTTGTTTTCCTCCCATAGTTTTTTGCCCGAATAACGATTTCAAAGATTGAATACATAACTCGAGTACCTTTGTGTTTTATGGAACTCGGATCTTTGCAAAACCAAATATTGCCTACGTGCAGAAAGGATGTAGATATGTACCCAATGACGTCCGATTTTGTAATCAACATTTCATTGTTTGCTGCCCTTGCTCCGTAAAAGTGGGTAGTTTCTGCATTGTAAATGCATGCATATGCATATACGACTCACATTCTAATACACACCGAGAACTTTTCCAAGTACTTATGTAAACTTTGCAAAATAACAACGACAAAAAAACACCGGTATGCATGTGCAAACCATTGTAATACTCATTTGTAATGTATATGAAATTTATGTGTGCAAAATATTGGTATAAATACGAATCCATTCTCTCATCTTATTCAGTATTAAGTAAATAGACACTCGATTCATAACAGACAACAATTTCCATTTAAATTATCGCCAAAATGCTGTCTTCCACAGTTCCCCTCATCCTCGCTGTCGCAACCCTTGGGCCACTCGCCGCCGTGGCGCAATTAAATCCGACCGAAGGTGAACCTGGCGGCGTGTCGCCAATTTACTATCTCCAATTCATCCTCGCAAATTCCCTCAAACTCGGAGATTCCTGTTCCTGGAGTGATGAAGCCCTCCGTCAGTCTGCTTTCCGCGAGATGAAACGGTTTCCCAAGAATAGCAGACCATACGACCAGGCGTTCTACAATATTGTGACCAGCACGGTGGAAAATGGGAGAACTTTTTGCATGGCGAAAGAAATGCTGGTGTGTGACAGGGATACGGCGAAATGTGTTTGTGGCGAACCCGCACTTCAAGTAAGTTTGAAAGCATTTTTTTAAATGGGGGTATTCACGACAACGGCTTACTTATTTTACTTACATCGAAGCTCATTTAACAAACTTGAGCAAAAATTTTTTTTGTGTAACTGGGATTGGTAAGATATGATTTGGCCAATTTCGCAAATCGGTATAGTTCCGTTAATGGTAGACTGCTATCCTATTTTTATTTCACGGATTTTACACAATTTCTTAAACATTTAATACATAGAGTTTGCGAAACGTGTAATCTTGCGAAATAAGAGCATGCCCAGTTGATGTGTAAATTTTCCAAAAAACTAGGGTTTTGCAGCAGACGTTTTTAGAGAAATGAAGCAAATTTCACAAAAATTCGCACATTAGTATAGCTACGTTTAATTTACTTTGCTTTAATTTAATGATATGATAGGGTTGACATGAATATCCTTAATTTTTGAAAAATGAACCTAATCGTATTTTTGCATGTACTTAGGCCAGCCTTGGAGTTCGTTACAAACCGAGCAGTTACCAAACCGAGTGGGACGCCGGCACGGGAAAAAAGGTGTGCCGATGGTCACAAGGGGGATCATGTGAATCACCCCCCGATAAGCAGGCTTCCTTCGTCCGCAAGTGTGCCCAAGGTCTGAGTTGCACCTATCTCAAGGATCGGACTGAATGCACGAATTTATCCACTTTGAAATACGTGCTGGATGCGATGCGAAATAACGTGCCGCGTGATGAGGCACTAGATGGGATTCTGTCCGGCAAGATGTGCCAATGTGTGAGCGAAGAAGATAACGGGCTTGATAAGGATAAGTTTGCTATGACCAGGAGTAATGGACGATTTAGAAGAAGCGTGGGTCGAAACGGTGATGATTTGTATGCACGTGCAAAAGCCGCACTTTTTACGCCAGGAGCGATTGACATGTAATAGTTCCGTAACTCTTTATCTTTCAACTGCAATTTATACTTCATGTACTTTTGTGCATCGGTTTATAGTAACTTGTATAAATAAAGTATGGCATAATTAATTCGCTAAATAATTTAGTTGGTCAAAATTAATTTATCCTTTTTTGTTATTTATGCACATATATGTATCTACATGCGGAATTTGCCATATCCTTCGTCCTCCGTTAAATTCTATTTTTTTCGGGCTCAACATTCGCATTGTCTCCATTCTTTGGAAAGCGACCTTGCTTGTCAAATCTCACAAGGGGACTTCAAGCAATTATTACATGTCCAAACGTCATCAAAATCGGTTATTGGCAAGTATGGTAAAGCTCCCCTAATTATTTTACGATCACTGATAATCAGTGAAAATAAAAATCATGAAAATGAAAACTTGAGAATCTTGAGTGTAGTGTAAATGAATTTTCAATTTAATAATTAGCTGCAACATTCAGCGTTAAATACTTTATTATTTCATTACATATTTACAGTAATTTGTCTACAAACATATTTAACTGCCAAAATATTGCGCATATTTATTAATTAAAATTAGCGTCCCCGCCTGCGACCATAGAAACGTTGATTGCTATGATAACTGGCACCAAATCCGCCCGAATTGTGAATTGTAGGTGGATAAAATGTATATTTCTTAATAGAATCCGAAAGTGCTTGCTGTCTTTCCCTACTTTCAGCCTCCAACCTCCGTTTCTCGATGCGTTCTCTTATTCGCGCACGTTCATCTAGTTATCAATCATTTTACATGTTACTAACTTAATTGATAATGAGGGTATTCACAATTGTCTCAGTGTCCATAAGTAGTATCGTAAAATATCTTATGAAGAACAAACAAGGGATCAAGCTTCGTAAAAATCGTAACCTTAGTAACGCAATTTTTTATGACAACATCTTTAATCGACGTTTACAAAACTTGTAATCGTCGTAACTTATTTTACGATGTATATTGAGGTAATGAATACCCTCAATGTACATTATTCTAATTGTCGAATTTAATTTGTACATATTTATGTACTATCCTCTTACTTCGACGTGTCACCACATTTGCATAAATCTCACCATGCCCATTTTCGGCGATACGGGCTTTCCATGTTGAATAAATTTAAAATATGCAAATGAGGTGACTAGCACAAATAATTTGACTATACATACCATCGCTTTGTTCACCACCAGCAACAATTCTTGATTCAACTTTTGGGACGGAATCCATTGCACCATTATTAATGCGTTTATCCGGTAAAGGGTTCATTTCTGTAGTGAAGGAGTCATCTTCTTGTAGCGTGACAGGTGTCACGGTAGCGTCTGAGAAAAATTCAGTGGTTTCCGTGCTTGCGGGTATTAGTGATAAAGATAAACTTGTGTCTGTCAGTGCACAAAGTAGTGTCCAAATAGTTACTAATTTCAAAATCATGGTTAGTCCCAAAGTATGTACTTGGTGCAGGATGGAACATGTGGTGTCGAGTGGTCTGATGAAAATTCAACTGAGGAATTAAAGCTTGAATTCAAATCATTTTATATGTATTCTTCTTCACGAGTTTTTCACGTTTGTATTTATGTAATGCATTTTTTAGTGTTATCTATCTCGTAAAACAACTACGGTGAAAATAAGTTACGTAGATAAGAAACGATTTACCCTTTGGCTCATGATTATATATGAAATGACGACAATGCAGGTCGTCTCGGATTATTGTTCTGCGAAATCAAAGAAAAAATGTTAGGCATGATGTACGCTATCCAATCAAAAAATGATTGGATGTACGCATCTGTAAACAATGAGTAGCGCAAGAAAACGTTGAGGTATGGGTATTGTTAGCGTTTATTTAAATCATGTACATGCATAATTAGTATTCCATTCATGCAATAAATGATTGTGTATGTATGTACCTCTATGCTAACAAATTTGCTTGACCGAGCGACAATAACTTGATTTTATAATCGCAGTTTTATAATCCATATATAGGACCTCGTAATAGACCTGATCCACACAGTTCACACTTACATTAAAAACGTATGATATTTATCAGTATTATTTCAGTATTTGTATTTACGTTAGGAAAACATTTAATAAATATTAATGTACACAAAATGTACCGATTTACATACATTTCCCATATATGGAATACCATAAATCTTATAAATCATATGTATGTACATATGTATCTAAAAATAGGATAAATGCTTGAACAGATTGGAGATATTGATTTCAGAATATCAAAATAGGTTAATAACCAGTAAGCAAAGCCAGTAATTAAACTTCGGTTTATATTTTTGATTCACTATTTCTGCGAGCAAAACCAGGATACAAAGTATCAAACCCATCCCAGAGACATAAAATCCTGCTGTAACCTTAGAACTAAAATCCAATCGAGAAACTGCCTCGACTTTGGGACCAATCCGAGCCGTATAGTTCCATGGAATATTTGTAGGTTCCCACAACTTATACAGGACTTTAAAATGTTCCAAAATTCCCGAAGATATAAACACTTTCAGGCGTTTTTCGACATAATTATTTCTGACCGGAGGTATAACCCAACCTCTTATCCTGGTGAAGAAGGAGTCTCCATCACCCATGAGATATTTCAGCTTTTGGTCACGGTCGTTCAAGAAATTTGTGATTGTTGCGATATTCTCCTTTGTATCCATCAACGCAACTTTTTCACAGGTTTTCAAAGTTGTTATCACCCCATAACTGTCTGGCTCATCATATTTCACTGGGTGGATGGGATAATCCTTTAAAGCAGTTTTCTCATATAAAGGGTGCGGGTCATTTAAACCACCAATTGGTGAAAACGTCGCATTCCGTACGGTCCTTAAGTTATTGTCCATCCCAAAATGTGGTATCAGCCTCTTAACTAAATTTTCTGCCACTTTCTTGTGGACAACTCCAAGTTTATTATCTCCACGCCCTTTCCGTATTTTAATACAGTGTTGAAGAATTTTAAGATAGAACAACTTGTAGCGAAAAAAATCGGCAAGAGATTTCCAATCGGGTGTATTTCCCCCTAGGAGACCAAAAGGCATAAGAATTCGAATCTGTTCTACATCCATCACACTCGTCCAAGGTGACTCGTACACAGTTGGAACGATTAATTCCATCGTGAAACAACTTTTATACCAATTCCTCAAAATCGTTCCTACGAAGATAGACCAAATCGCGACGAGTGTGCAGACTCCAGGCGATGGATATCCTTTTCGCGTAAATCGATTCTCATAAACGGGCAACGAAGTAGAGTTCTCTAGAGATATCCCAATAACTACGAACACCCCATCGGAAAGATATCTTCCAAGCGTTAATGTCAAAATTAAGACCACTGTGGTAAAGCACGTGCCAATGCATGCCCAACTTATCATATCAAACGGACTGCTTAACGAGCCTAACATTTCAGAATTCCGTCTTATTCCGTAACACGATATAAAACTGTACTTTTGAACGTCATTCATGATAAAACCAAATCCTCCACGACTTTGGAAATGCATTCCATACATTGATTCGAAAGTGTGAAATGGTGTCGAATATTTAAAATCATAAATTAGAACATCTTGCAGAATCAGATATGAGAGGAATCCATGGAACGAGGTTACATCTGCTATCCGCTGAAACGCATGTCGAGATTGGCATTTGTTCCGTAAATCAATATGATCAACGAGGTCACTTAGTAATGGTATATTGGGACCAAGAACGTATGCAGTCCAAAAGTATTTGTTCAGCCGTGACACATTTTGGTCCAGTAAGACCAGTTGATCGAAACAATGAGCTGGTGCACAAGTAATTGGGTACCAGGCTTCAGATTTCTCCATTCCTATGGCGGCGGGTTTCTTGATGTGGTAAATGTTGTGGTAACCAAACCGTAACAATGAATTATTCTCTTGGGTAATATCCACTAAGATAACCTGAACTAAATGGAGATTAGACAAGACGCTGTACTGTCTTAAGTAACCTTCAACCTCGTGTATAACAGCTGTAATCATTATGAAGTAATGTGACCGCCAGGTTCTGTAAATGAAGGGCGGCAGATTGATATATTCATCCTGGTCAAATAAGCTAGCTGTTTCTGGTAAAATGGCAAACGTTGCCCAGCAATGCGGTGCCGAATTGCGTTTTCGCACAATGGAAAACTTATCATGAATAATCCCCCCTGTCCCCAAAGTTGTGTTGGTATCGTATACAAAGGAAATTATTGGTACATGGATCATTCCCAAAGCAAATGTGACTTTGGTGAACACCATAGTTGTACAGTTCTCAAAAGGGACAAAATAGTCCTCTATCTTAATACGGAAGGTGTCAAATGTTTCATAGCCATTACTTCCAGTCTTATCAACTGTTATGGTGCAGAAGCAGGGCACAATGCTAGTTTGGGACAGAATGAGAAGCAAGACAGAACTATAGCCAAATATTTTCATTTTGCAAGAGCTGAAAAAGAGTTACTGAGAATTGTGAATATTTTTCAAGTACTTAATTTCAAAATGTTTATTATTCTAGGCATGTTTGGTAAAACATTTTTCCGCCCTTTACTGGTGGAGCATATGTATGTACCCTTAAACAATCAGATTTAGTCTCTGTTCCGTACGTCGTACGATAAAATGTAGACAAGCCGAATAATTTAGATATTACTTAAACAACTCTTTCTAACTATATAAATGCACTTCACCCCCTACATATTCTTGTCATGATAAAACAATTATTTATACATGAACGTGTGTACATATTTACTTACGTGGTTGAAGTATTGCTCAAATTACAAGCAGAGTACAAAACAACTTGAGTTTGTCCAAGAACGGGAAACTTGTCTAAATTATTTATAAACCGCCACAGTTCGACACGTTTATGCAAAAGCTGCTGAATTTACAAAACCCTCCACAATAATATCTAATTTAGATTTACCTATGTATTTGTCGTTCCAAAAAGAAAATCCAACATCCTGTCTGAGTGAGGAGACAAAAACAGGATAGGCACCATCAGCAATTTTTAAACGATCATTAATTATGTAAGAACAACTGCTTATGAACGTTTGACCGGATTATGTATACTATTTACAGACATACATACATATATGTATGATTAGTAGAGACGATTAAATTATGCCATGCATAAGAAACTTTGCTATTAATCTGCAAATTTAGTAGTTCATTATAATATCATCGGCGAAAAATCTAACTTATTTCTCTATCCAAACTTACATATGCACATGCACATAAACATACATATTTACATATCCTTTTTACAGAGAGACCTCATTTGCTTAAATGTCACAATTTCATGTTAACTTATCTCCTTCGCCATAAAATTGTATGGATATACATGGAAAAATCTTCATATTTACAGTTGCATGCATCACATACTCGATAATACAATTCATTTTTGTATTTACCTATAAGTTATATATGTACACTCTCCGAAGTGTGGTAATGATGTTTTAATGACCATCATTACTGTCGGGTTGGTAATTGTGAATTATACCAAAAACGGTAATTATTTGTTTACCGAATTTTATTATTAATAAAGTTTTTGGTTCACTACGGGTTGATAAATTCGCTAAGATTAAAATCGGTAAGCTAAAAATACCAAGCGGTATGTATTCATTACGAAAAAAGAAAACTGTATAGTACTGCCCCATAATGAACACTTTATTTTCCGGGTAATGTATTTGAATCTTTATGCGGTATTGCCATTCTACCGCACTGGTATTTATTTTTCACAATTCAAGTAATGAAAGAAGTTGCGCACTCTCACACGACAAACACCACGAGGAGGACAAAATGGGCGACAAAAAAGATAAATTAATTCGTGTTTCGAATTCTTTACATCAAAAGAAAGCAATAGTGAGCTCCAATAACTACGAGGAATTTCTAACAAAAGGTAAGTCAGCATGATTAATTAGATAAATATAATTCGCAAGTGAAAAAATTGATAAGATTTTGTTGATTTAATTAATTCAATGCAGATTATCTCAATTAAGTTATTAATTTAGCAACTTTATTTTACAGTTAGAATAAAGTTTGAGCTTGCTGACGACATCCAGATACTTATCGAAGACGACCAAGGTGCCGAGATTGATGCGGATGTGTTTCCAATTTTATGGGAGGAAGAAAAACCGAATATTACATTTCGAATTCAAGGCGAGGACTTTACAGTAAGCGCAATTCAGGACGCCGGTTCCAGTCCTCAAATTTATTATTGTAAGTACTACATAGATAAGTAATACCTCCAGGAATTAATATATGACCTGATAATTAATAATAATTAATAATTTTGTAGTGCCAAGTCCATTGTGTTCACCGGCGCCATCACCAGTTTCGCCATCATTAGGACTTGGTGACGTTGATGTATTTAAGCAGGTAAACAGTTCATCAGCTCAATATATTCTAACAAGTACATAGTAACTACAATTTTTGATTTTTTTCGATATTAGATATTAGAGGAATATGTCGAGAAGACGCCGCGTTTGGCGAATCTAATCTTGGAGTGCAGAGAGAAGTCCCTCGTCGATAACTCAGCGGCGGCAATAATTGTTAACGAGTTTGTGTCGAAATTGGTAGACTTAAAAGGGTAATTATTTTTAAATAAGTTCCTTGCTGTTTGTAAATAATATTTTCTGTTATGTAGTAACTCACCATGCACTCGAGACCAGATATCTTTTGCAAAGGCGATTGTTGAAATTCTGCCTTTCTGGAAATATCCGGGAACGCCAGACGGAATTGTAAATTACTATTGCAAATAAATTTTCGTAACAATAATTACTAAAAAAATTATTCTAAAAGTGTCTTGTGTAAATTGCAGGATATTCTTTATGATGAAATTAACCGGTCTGGCCTAATTCAACAACGACTCAAGTGGATTCACAGAAACATTAGGAAACCGGAAGTTGATACGAGGCGTCGGAAAAAAGAAGAAAGTCAAGGTGGCCCAAAGCCAAAAATAGCGAAAGGCGCAGAGGAGGTTTTCCCCAACTTGGAATTAACGGCGGCCCTAAATTCAAGCACTAAAAAAGGTGAAATTGTATCACTCATGAAGGAAACTTTTGAACACAGAAACCAGATAAGACGGTCAAACGATCAATCAGTGCTACGTGTGTACTCAAAATTTGCGGAATGTTCCTACTTGGTTTGAATTATTAACTTAATTTTAATAATTACGCATGTCATAAATATACAATTAATACTTCTGTTCAGGTTAATTTTGAGTTTTCGCTAATGTTTCCTGACCTTGAACAAAACTTTCTAAACACGTGGCCGGAATTTGCTGACCGATTGATTGCGCACTGCAAAACTTTAAGTAATTCGCCAGCCCTATTGAAATTCGCAAACAATAATTATGGTAAGTGTTTCCGTAAATCTAATAATCATAAATTTCGTAAATAAATTGCTAACCACTGTTTTGTTGTCACAGATAATTGGGACAAATCAATAGCAGCTCTATTTGTTCTGTTACACCTTATTCCTCCAAGCGCTCAAGGGAGAGGGAAAGGGGGACGCTGTAAAATTGACGACGCAAAGTTAAAGTTGGTTACTTTTTACCGGGTAAGCGCGGGAATAATTTAAGAGGGTCAGCTAAACGATATGGGACAGTTTTAATAAATATGTGTTTAAATAGGCTGAAACGCCCTTGAAATCAATTGTGGACACTTGGAATTTTGAGACTTCCCAACCAGCGCTCATTGTACTAGGCGAGGACCACTCCAATTTGACGTCCTTCTACATAATTTGTGATCGAATCCTCCTCCCAATCAACGCAAGAACTTCAACCGAGGCAATCGATTCCCTATTTAAGGCTCATTACGTAATTGGAACAGAATACGACAAAAATTTGACCGGAATTTGGAAGTTTATTCAAGTACACATTTTTCAACTTGAAACAACTACTCAGCTATCAAGAAAAGTGAAACAAGTGTTCCAGCAAATTTCTACTTATCTTCAAACGTCAAATTCCTCGACAAATTAAAATGTATACTTGTGGTCCATGTGGAAAAGTATTTTGTAAATTTAGAGAGATTATAGTACATTTTAGGTGCATTCATAATTACGGTGAGGCAAATTTTCCAGGTGTTACCAATTCAACTGTGGACTTTGTTGTTAAAGAGTTTGAAAATTCGTTTCTTCAAATTTCAAAATTAATTTTAAGGATAAGCAACAAATTTTGCAAAGAAAATTTTGAGGACTTTAGTTGCCAGTCGCTATCTTTAATAGAAGCGTTCAGTCACGTAAATTCTATTTACAAACGACAGAAAGCGTTAGAAAAATATAGCCAAATAATTATGCCAAAAGAATATTCGTTAGGAAGTAGGCTGGAGCAAAGGGTGAGAGATAACAAACGTCAAGAAGTTATTGTATCAGATACATTTATGTATGTACCAATTCTCAAGAGTTTAGAAAAACTTGTTTCATCTCCAGATATTTATCAGTGTTTTTCAAAAGTTGTACCTTCAAATTCCAATTCAATCGAGTCATTTAAAGATACAGTTGCATTTAAAACTAATTGTCTTTTTTCAAGGAACCCGAATTCTATTCAAATTCAACTTTTCTATGATGATTTTGAAACAGTCAATCCCCTTGGCTCAAAACGAGGAATTCACAAATTGGGAGCGTTTTACTTTACTATTAAAAATCTTCCAGATTATATTAATTCCCAACTTAGCTCAATACATTTATTAGCCTTGTTTTATTCGGAGGATGCCAAAAAGTATGGTATTAATTCAATTCTGAAATTAATAATTCCAGATTTCCTGTATCTTGAGAAAGTGGGCATATCGGTAAATGGATCTGATAGAATTTTTGGTACTTTGTGTTCTCTTGCGTTTGACAACTTAGGTGGAAATAGTTTGCTAGGATTTAATGAGTCGTTTAATTCCCATTATTTTTGTCGAATATGCTGTACATCTAAAAGTGAAGCACAAGAAATATTTGAGCATAGCAAAATGATAGTCAGGGACAAAAGTAATTATGCCAATCATTTAAGTGACAAATCTTTTGGTGTTCAAACTGAATGTATTTTAAATCAACTTAATTATTTTAATTTTTTAGATAGTCCGTCTGTTGACATTATGCACGATTTACTGGAAGGTGTCGTTCCGTACGAAATCAAACTAGTTTTACAAAAATTAATATCTTTAAAGTGCTTTGATTTAGATTTAATTAATCAAAGAATTCAGGCCCATAATTTTGGCTATTTAGAATCAAAGAATCGCCCAAGTCCAATACGACTAGAAGGATCGGGAAACAAAATTGGACAAAAAGCTTCTCAAGCCTGGTGTCTGATTCGGTATTTACCAGTGATTATTGGGGATTTAGTTATTAGTAATGAGCAAAAAAAATATTGGGAAATTTTATTGCAACTTTTGGAGATTTTGAGCTATGTATTTTGTCGGAAATTTTCAGAATCTACTTTGTTATTATTAGATGCAAAAATAGTTAGCCATCATAATCTATTTCGTAAGTTGTTCCCAGATCAAAAACTTATCCCCAAGCACCATTTAATGTGTCACTATTCTTTTGTCATTAGGCAAAGTGGGCCATTAGTATCAATGTGGGCCATGCGGTATGAGGGGAAACATAATTATTTTTCTCAATTAGCAGGACAAATAAGAAATTTTCGTAATATTTGTTCATCGTTGGCTAAAAGGCATCAACAGTATAGTTCTCATTTGTTAAAAACTATTGAAATTAATGAGGGGGTTAGGGCAGATAATATAGTAGTATCTAATTTGTATGAATTTGCTGAGTCTTTTGATTTAATCGAGAAATTAAGACAGTTTGACATATTTAAAGAATGTGACGGAAATACAAAAGTTTATACAGCAAATAAGGTCTGGTATCGTAATTATAAATACAAAATTGATTATGTTGTTTGCTATGGAATGGGAAATATTTTTCCAAATTTTGGTGTAATTCAGGACCTAATATTAATTGATGAAACCAGATGCCTGTTATTTTTGAAAAAGCTAAATGTAGACTTCTTTGACAGACACTATTTTTCCTATATTGTTACACGTACAAATGATTTGTTTGAAGTTGTGGATATATCTAATTTAATTGTTCATGAATGTTTTGAGTTTCAAAAAAATTGTAATACCGATGCTTTTCATTTAGTTTTAAGGCATTACTTGTAAAAATATATGTATTTGTAATTTAGGCTATATATAACTTGATTGGTTTTTGTATTTAATTAAGTTGTGTAGTTTAATTATTGCGAATTATTACAATAAATAATCAAAATAATTACCGAAATAGTGAAACATTTATTACCATAATAATAAATATCGATAAGCAAACGATAATAATATGATTATGGTGCGGTGTTGATTATTTACCACCCAGTAATAAGCATCTTTATACATTTATCATAATATCATTACTGGCTAATATTACTTCATTACTGCGTGCAGTTGCAGGTTCATATTGCATGATATTTATGATATTATTGTGGAGTAATACGTTAATGCCGGGATGGTAATCTTTCTGTTAAATACCGCGCGGTAACTAACCCATTACCACAGCAGTAGAGTCATATATAGACTACACGGGGTAATGATTCCGGTAAACATTTTTCGGAGAGTGTGCCAATACAATCAATCCAAGGACAAACCCAACCGTAAGCACTGCCACGAACATTGTCTCAACTTTGCACAGTGGTACGAATATTAGAATGTACATCCAGTTAGCTACATTACAAATCCTGTCAATCCAACGATACTAAATTTCTGGTGGAGAATGCACCAGATTTTACAAATTTTCTCCGTTTGCAGTTAAATTTTAAGAGGTCAATTCTCAATATTATTTGAAGATAGTTGAGATGCAGGTTTAAATAATCGAGGCCAAACTTGAACAACATGGTCCAATTTTTGAAGGCAATTATTTTGACTTGAGTGGAGTGGTGTACAAATTCGACTAACGGTGGAAAGGATTCCTTTCATAACTTGTCAAAATTCTAGGTTATGATTCCTTGTTAGTCTTAAAATAATGGACTCATTTTGAAATGTAAATGCTGTCAAAATTCGATATTTTGTAGGTAAAGTACATTAGATCGATCCAGTGCAATGTTAACTTGATAAAGAGTAAACTTTACTCTTAATTTTCTGAATATATAATTCAGATTGCATTTACTTTTCAAAAAATAACTTTATTTTTAAGAGAGTGTTGCTCTAATTTCCACGTGTGCAAACATCTATGCTTTATAATATTTCTACGGCAATCCTCCATAATTATATGTACATATTCCTAATTCTACATTTTGGCTCAGGAAGCTAATTAAGACACAATTCAATTTCTTATTTTAGGGAAGTTGATATTGCAAAACATGTGTAAATATCTTAGATATTATATCTATTTCATGTGTGCTTATGTATAATAAAACTGTTGGTCGTCCGACAGATGTGCAAAGACGAATGTGTAAACGACAACGCGCAAAGACAAGCCCCGATAAATTTGCAACCGATAAATCATTTATCGGTTTGCAGGAAATTTTCTAACAATTGTTACACTCTATCTCTAATTTCATTTAAAAATAGGTCATATGTGTGTGAAGTTCGTCAATACGTACATAGATAAATGAATTTCCTACTTTCAAGCGAGTAATTTATGCTTAATCGCTAATCCAATTTACAAGCACTTGCTTGCATATACATATGTATACATATCAACATACCTATATATTACTAAAGCAATGTCAAAATGAAAAATAAACTTTCACGTATGCTTACCTGCAAAGGATTATCGACAAGCTACACTTCTTCAATAACTGTTTAACTAGAAATCAACCTAAACTCTATCTCTATACATATTGACATAATATTTGTAAATACAGATGATAGATTATAGGTAGTTGCGATTGGGTACAAATTATTTTAGGTTATTATTCCAAATTATAGGTTATTGCACAAAATCATTTGGATTATTACACAAAATTATTTAGGTCAGTGCACAAAATTTTAGGGTAATTATAGATTTATCACTAATCGATTTGGAACTAATTACTTTATTATATTATACAATGTACATAACTTACGGGCCATTAGCCCCCTCCGCGTTTTAAATAAATGACTTATATCATACATAATATTTGTATTACGCACTATTACGCACCGAATTTAAAACACATCGGGTTGAATTTATTCTACTTCAATCAACATAAATTCAAGGACCTAGCATAAAGTCATTCATTTAATTCATCATGAGACGAATATTTGTATTTGTTTGTCCGCACAAAAGCTTGTAATCAACAAAGGTGTTGACATTGCCATGAAGTTGTTTGCAAATCGGATCTTCTTTGAGGAACATGATTCGCCCATTTTGTGAAAAAATACATATACCCGAGCTCGGGTAAATTGTTTAAGGCATCCGGATCAGCTGGCCGATGTAAGAGTTATTAAGATAAGATTTTATTCCTTCCCTACGGAGGCCACTTCGGGCCATGAGGGTACAGTTATGCAAGTATGTACATGTCAGAGTCATTTCATTGTAAGCAACAACTGATCGTCCACTTGACGCAAACACCAAGCGTGACGAGTGGTGTTAAAATAGTGACAAAATTGTCTCCAAACCTGATCTTAAGTACCCCACAGGCTGCTAGCCTTTTATGAAACTGCTTGTTCTCTACCATACCCCCTAGTTGGACACGCCTCAGCCTACCGCACAATTTCATCGATGTTTCATTAACAACTCCCGCGAGTAGGGCAAAAGCGAAATTACCAAAGAAACTTTCGACACTTAGAACTATAAATACCACACCACCCAGTCTGTCCACCTTGCACGAACCGTTTGATTAGGATACAAAAGTAGAGATGATATTGGTCAATCCAAACATAGCAAAGCAAGAGGGAAGAAACACTGCTCGAAAACAGTGGCTGATTTGAGCCTCCAAAATTTTGATGTGTTGCCACTCCATGAACAGTTTCTTATATCCCAAGTAAAGCTCGCTATTCTGATGACAGCGTCTAAATAGTTCAAAGAATAAAAATGTTCAACTCACATTTAGGCTAATTGTTTGTTGGTAGTGAGGTCTTTATAATTGGTTTATATTTACTTAACCCCATAAAACTCACCGCATTATAGACTTTATTGTAATTATCAAACCAAACACTGATAGTATGAAAATGTTTGAAATTTCCAAAAATCCAGTTGCTGCACAGGAGGAAATAAAACTCGCCCTGAAATAGAACAATAAAAAAATGCACCAGAGTAAGGACATTATAGCACCCTCGCTCATTTTCTATTTATAGATTTTATAGCGAATGCATGCAACTTTTAGCATGCAAATTTTATGCATGCATTTTTTGCATGCAAACTTTTTTTGCATGGAGTTTTGCGATGCTGGGGGCTGACCCCCCCAGGGGTTGCAGATAACCCCAGCGCAGTGACCGCGGCGCCGTGACCTTTGACCTGTCAAGCGTATTTATTATAATATGAGCGTTACATGGTGAGTATGTATGTCAAGATGAAAAAACCACACATTGATATTTAACTACAATGATGAAATGTGCATAATAATGGGTGTTAAGTTTCACAGTTTAATAGCTTAATTAAATGTACATGGCTTGCAGAAGCTGGCCAACTTCATTTGACATTCCAAGCGAATTACGTCCAGTTTTATTCTAAAGAAATTTACTTTAAGATATTTATTATTCCACATACAATGAATTGATTATTGCTTAGTTTTATTGATACACACAAAGTGACAATGAATTTGCTTATATTAATTTGTGTTGTGCTGCAGACCGTAAATTCGTATACGGAATGTTATCGTCATGATAGTTGTGTGCAATGCATTCAAATTGTGGGTTGCGTTTACGGAGTAACAAGTTCAAGTGCTCGGAAATGTTTTCATCGTGACGAGATTCCGGTTGGAATTTTGGCAACCTTTCGAATCCGACTGCATGTAAAAGAATTTACAGGTTTGGTACGTTCATTTTCATGTTTTCACTTTATACTGAGAACAAAGTGTTTCTTTACTGAATAAATAAGTTGTTTTTTAATTTTTAGCAACCACCCAGACGAGTGCATTTGATTACCATTCTAAAAGTGGAAGCAATATCATTGTTAAAGAAGAGATAATGCACAATGTTTTAACAGGTATGCACTGCCATTTTTCGCAATTTATTCCATTATTTTAACATTTTGACATTTTTAGAGCGGGTTTCAACCTCCACCACAACTGAAAATCAATTGTATACTTCAACATTACCTACTTTCACGACTTTGCCAACGACCAAAATAGTGACGACCAATTTTTATTTGCCGGAAACCTTACATCCCACACAACCAAGTGTTGATCACGAGCAAGACAATTCAGAGACCACAACGGAGACAATAATAAACACTGCTGTCGCCGGTATTGTACACATTTTTTTTGTTACGTAATCTCGGTTTTTCATTCATAAATAAAACCATCACAGAAAAACTGGCAATCGAGACTACAATCCTACCAATGGTGGAATCAACTACGCATTTCTCTGAGCTAATTCATCGGCCCACTGATCCATTCCTGTTGCTGAATACGAGCATCACAATTGGGGGTATGCACACCATAGTTAAAAAAATAGCACGTAAAGTTTATTAAAATTTTATTTATAGAAACCAATAATACTGCGAATTGGAATAATGGTTCCAACCATAGTGGAAGTTTCAACTCTTCCGTCCCGACAACTACCAATTTAACGATTTCGGTATTTATTAGTGTTTATATGCAACCAATCCCAATACCGTCTAAAGCCACGAGAACAAATTCGTATGCAATTCTTATTGTGTCACTTCTTAGACTTTTCCAGTTGTAGCAGCAAGAAAACGGAAAATGTGGAGCACCTATGACACAATTGGATTATATGCATGCAGAATTACTAAATTACTTAAGAAGAATAATTTCTTTCATGATCGAGATCTTTCTACTATTAATATATCATATCGAGGAAATTTGATTATGTATTATGTGATTCGTTACTCAGCGGAAAGCCAATATTTTATGCCAAAAACATTTAAATATATGCAACAAGTTAATTAAGCAAATGCATTTGCAGAGTGTTGGATTTAGAGGAAGTTCTAGCAATAAATAATTATGATAATTTTATTACAATAAATGCATGACATTTTTTCGATTTATTTTTTTATTTGCTCATTTCCATCAAATCATTTGTTTTTATTTTCAATCATCAACTTAAAATGATTATAAATCACTACTAAAATCACTACTAAATTCTACATGTATATATGAACTCTACAAATGACTCATTTCGATAAAATCACTACTAAATTACTACTTTTTTTAATTTTTCGTTCGTTTACTGGCGGGGGCGTTTGTGGGGGGGGATGCTTGGACTGCTGCTTGGACTGCGGCTTCCTGTGCCTCCTTTATTGCTTCAGACACAACTGACGAGGTCAGAGGCTGAACCGTCAGTATCTCATTCGGAGCTGAAGACAGTTGTTTTACACACGTTGTAAGGAAGAGAGTATCCTAAAAAAAACAAGCATGCTTTGCAACAAAATCGTAATTATAAGTACGAAAAAAAATTGGAAACACTTACCTTTGATGCGTCATGTAGCTATTAACCAGGCCCATAGCATTGAGATGTTGTAATTTTTTAAATATATTCAAATTTGTCCTAAATTTGAGTTTAGGAACTCAAATTTAGGACAAATTTGAATATATTTAAAAAATTACAACATCTCAATGCTATGGGCCTGGTTAATAGGCTACATGACGCATCAAAGGTAAGTGTTTCCAATTTTTTTTCGTACTTATAATTACGATTTTGTTGCAAGCATGCTTGTTTTTTTTAGGATACTCTCTTCCTTACAACGTGTGTAAAACAACTGTCTTCAGCTCCGAATGAGATACTGACGGTTCAGCCTCTGACCTCGTCAGTTGTGTCTGAAGCAATAAAGGAGGCACAGGAAGCCGCAGTCCAAGCAGCAGTCCAAGCATCCCCCCCCACAAACGCCCCCGCCAGTAAACGAACGAAAAATTAAAAAAAGTAGTAATTTAGTAGTGATTTTATCGAAATGAGTCATTTGTAGAGTTCATATATACATGTAGAATTTAGTAGTGATTTTAGTAGTGATTTATAATCATTTTAAGTTGATGATTGAAAATAAAAACAAATGATTTGATGGAAATGAGCAAATAAAAAAATAAATCGAAAAAATGTCATGCATTTATTGTAATAAAATTATCATAATTATTTATTGCTAGAACTTCCTCTAAATCCAACACTCTGCAAATGCATTTGCTTAATTAACTTGTTGCATATATTTAAATGTTTTTGGCATAAAATATTGGCTTTCCGCTGAGTAACGAATCACATAATACATAATCAAATTTCCTCGATATGATATTATTAATAGTAGAAAGATCTCGATCATGAAAGAAATTATTCTTCTTAAGTAATTTAGTAATTCTGCATGCATATAATCCAATTGTGTCATAGGTGCTCCACATTTTCCGTTTTCTTGCTGCTACAACTGGAAAAGTCTAAGAAGTGACACAATAAGAATTGCATACGAATTTTTCTCGTGGCTTTAGACGGTATTGGGATTGGTTGCATATAAACACTAATAAATACCGAAATCGTTAAATTGGTAGTTGTCGGGACGGAAGAGTTGAAACTTCCACTATGGTTGGAACCATTATTCCAATTCGCAGTATTATTGGTTTCTATAAATAAAATTTTAATAAACTTTACGTGCTATTTTTTTAACTATGGTGTGCATACCCCCAATTGTGATGCTCGTATTCAGCAACAGGAATGGATCAGTGGCCGATGAATTAGCTCAGAGAAATGCGTAGTTGATTCCACCATTGGTAGGATTGTAGTCTCGATTGCCAGTTTTTCTGTGATGGTTTTATTTATGAATGAAAAACCGAGATTACGTAACAAAAAAAATGTGTACAATACCGGCGACAGCAGTGTTTATTATTGTCTCCGTTGTGGTCTCTGAATTGTCTTGCTCGTGATCAACACTTGGTTGTGTGGGATGTAAGGTTTCCGGCAAATAAAAATTGGTCGTCACTATTTTGGTCGTTGGCAAAGTCGTGAAAGTAGGTAATGTTGAAGTATACAATTGATTTTCAGTTGTGGTGGAGGTTGAAACCCGCTCTAAAAATGTCAAAATGTTAAAATAATGGAATAAATTGCGAAAAATGGCAGTGCATACCTGTTAAACATTGTGCATTATCTCTTCTTTAACAATGATATTGCTTCCACTTTTAGAATGGTAATCAAATGCACTCGTCTGGGTGGTTGCTAAAAATTAAAAAACAACTTATTTATTCAGTAAAGAAACACTTTGTTCTCAGTATAAAGTGAAAACATGAAAATGAACGTACCAAACCTGTAAATTCTTTTACATGCAGTCGGATTTCGAAAGGTTGCCAAAATTCCAACCGGAATCTCGTCACGATGAAAACATTTCCGAGCACTTGAACTTGTTACTCCGTAAACGCAACCCACAATTTGAATGCATTGCACACAACTATCATGACGATAACATTCCGTATACGAATTTACGGTCTGCAGCACAACACAAATTAATATAAGCAAATTCATTGTCACTTTGTGTGTATCAATAAAACTAAGCAATAATCAATTCATTGTATGTGGAATAATAAATATCTTAAAGTAATTTCTTTAGAATAAAACTGGACGTAATTCGCTTGGAATGTCAAATGAAGTTGGCCAGCTTCTGCAAGCCATGTACATTTAATTAAGCTATTAAACTGGTGAAACTTAACACCCATTATTATGCACATTTCATCATTGTAGTTAAATATCAATGTGTGGTTTTTTCATCTTGACATACATACTCACCATGTAACGCTCATATTATAATAAATACGCTTGACAGGTCAAAGGTCACGGCGCCGCGGTCACTGCGCTGGGTTATCTGCAACCCCTGGGGGTCAGCCCCCAGCATCGCAAAACTCCATGCAAAAAAGTTTGCATGCAAAAAATGCATGCATAAAATTTGCATGCTAAAAGTTGCATGCATTCGCTATAAAATCTATAAATAGAAAATGAGCGAGGGTTGCTATAATGTCCTTACTCACCAGAAGCAAAATCCTTCCTGTAGCATGTCCACCCCATCGAACTGCCAGGCTGGAATAACTGATCCAAGATATGGTGGAAGTTTCGGGTCAGAAACGATCATCATCATAAAACCAATCGGGGCAAGAATAGAGGATCCGCACCCAAAGATTAGCATAATCCACTTCAATAGTATTCTAGATGTTTCAATATTTCGAGCACACTCTGTCGCAATGGTGGTTTTTTCATATTCGAGGCCCATTCGAAATAGGGCGATGAAATCGTTCGGGTTTTTGTGCAAGGTTAGAATAACTGCGAAATAGCAGAACGGGAGGACTAAAGTGCCAAATGAAGTGACGGCTTTCGTGCCGACCGAGTGATTAGGAGAGCCGAGATATATTAATCCATTGATCAAGATAAAAATGGCGTAGAGGGAGAAACAAGTTAATCTCGTGGTCCTAAATATGACGAAGTTGTTGGATTTTCAGTTCGGAATTTTCGTGAGACTGTTATCTTATCGTTATCGTTGATGGAAATTGGACAATCTGTTAATTTCGATATAAACTTGATTTGCCATTTTATCATTGGAAGTGTGGAACGAAGAATCATGTTGGCTTAAGTTTCTCCAAAAACGATCTGGCCAAATGTACGTTAAATTTGGCTGGAGTGATGAGTACCTGTATGTGAAATTGTGACCGACGTGTAACTTCTGTGCGATAGAAATATATGACCAACTTAATAACACTCTGCTCATAAAGTATTTAACTTGTACATAGCATGCCCAAGGAACTGGTAGTAGCTCTTTACCCCGAAACCGCTGGAAATAATGAAATTCTGATAAGTGCATTGGATTCCTCGTGCGATTTGCATAAATACCGATAATCGATTTTTTTATTATTGCAAAGCGTATCAACAGGGAAAACATTAAAGGGACGCGGGTGGCGATAATTTTTCATCAAAAAATCGGAAGAAAATAGCGAATTTGAAAAGTATGACATGAATTGAACGTGCACTTTAATTTAGTCAAACGAGTTAAAAAAACGTGCATGGGGACCAAGTCGACTAAGTACAGTCGAAAAGAATTTTCCAAAACCTCCAAGGACCACACCCGTCGTGAAGCGCTAAAGGCTAGAATCCGAAGAGATTCACGAAATTTCAACTGAAAATATCTTAACAGCTGACATTGTTGATGCAAATTGTCTAACGAGTGCTCAAATTGAACCTTAGACTTAGGGCTCTTGAAACGTAGTACTTAGCATCTCCTGACGATCCCCAACAGGAAAGCCAGATTAAAGAAATGAAGAGCTGTACGCAACGGTACGCACCAAAAAAGTGGAGAGGATTTTTAAAAAGATGACGAGATTTTGACATCGGAAAAATCTTTTAACGAACGAGCTCACCTATGGTTAATCTAACAAAACCGCAGCATTTTCTTGGTTCGAGGTTATGTGGCGCATGCCGCAATGCTATAAGGCATTGAAAACTTTTGATTTTGAGCCATTTTGCAATTCCCCCCACCGATTTTCCAAAATAAAATATGTTTGGAAACAGTTGACCTTTTGCTACAATATATAATTTCAAATTTTCAAATTGACCTAGGTAACCTGAAATCAAGGTCACAAGGTCAAAAAATGAAAATGTTGCATCGTTCTTAAAAAACACTTCTTCGCGAATTTGATTCAAAATTTTTACATCAAACAACTTTGAGGAGTGGAAAAATTGACCCAAAGGTCATTTAAAAAATTGTGGGTGCGGCAGGGGGTGTGGAAAAATGGAATCAGGTTTAAATTGCTGAGTTTTAACACCGAGAGATTAGAAATATCATTATCCAATCAGAGTCACACCCTCGACAATGGTTATATTAGCAGATTCAAATTTTGAATCCCCAACCACAGGGGGTGTGGCCATCAGCGCTTTTGCTATCTTTTCGAGAAAACATGCCGTGCGACATATCATTTTAAGCAGAAACATTAGGGAACTTAAAAATAGGTTCGAAATTGCCAAAACCACACCCCCAGGTGGGTGTGGCTTCCAGCGCTTTTGTCATCCTTTCGACAAAATATGTCGTGTGACCTATCATTTTGACCAGAAACATAAGGGCAACTTAAAAAAGTATCGAAGTTACCAAAACCACACCCCCAGGTGGGTGTGACTTTAGCGATTTTGCTAGGTTTTCGAAAAAACACGTTGTGTGACATATTGTTTTGAGGGCAACTTGAACACATGAGGGCAACTTCAAAATAGCATCGAAGGTACCAAATCCACACCCACAATGGGTGTGGCTTTCAGCGTTTTAGCCTTCTTTCCTTTGTGTGACATATCGTTTTGACCAGAAACTTAAGGGCAACTTAAGAAAGGTATCGAAGGTACCAAAACCACAACCCCGGTGGGTGTGGTTTTCAGCGCTTTTGCCATCTTTTCGAGAAACCCTGTCGTGTGACATATTATTTTCACCAGAAGCATAAGGGCAACTTATAAATGGTATCGAAATTGCCAAAACCACACCCCAAGTGGTTGTGGCTTTCAGCCCTTTTGTCATCTTTTCGAGAAAGTCTGTCGCGTGACATCGTTTTGACCAGAAATATAAGGGCAACTTAAAAATAGTATCGAAATTAAAAAACCACACCCCCAGTGGGTGTGGCTTTCAGTCCATCTGTTCGAGAAAGCATGTCGTGTGAATATCATTTTGACCAGAAACATAGGGGCAACTTAAAAATGGTATCGAAATTACCAAAGCCACACCCCCAGTGGGTGTGGCCTTCAGCGCTTTCAGCAGAATGTTTATAAAGTGTCTTTTGTGATGCTAATATCGGTCGTGTTATCGTTGCGGATCGATTGTTACTCCTGGTTTGAGATTTTTTTGGTATTCGGTTTTTTTAAAACGCGTGGAACGTTAATTCTTTGAAAGTTAAAAGTTTTGTTGGAATGAAACGTTAATTTTTTTAATAATTAAACGTTAACTAAACTCTGAAACCTTAATTTATTAGAATTAAGAGTATGGCAAAACTTAATTGTTGGATATCATTCTTCTCCGCTCAAAGAGCAGATCCCGTTCAAGAATTAAAATTCATATCACATCACCCCGTGTGATGGTTCCCAGAAACTTTTGCCTTTTAAGAAACAGCAATGACATTTGATATGTCATTCTTCCAAACTTGATGAGCGGATGGCGACGAATAGCTATAGTTCATAAACCATACCTATAGTGTATGTGGTTTCAGTGATTTGGTGTTCCCAAAGGAATTACAAAAGAATAAAATATATCAATTTTGTTAGCCACATTCAGAAAAAATCAATCGAATAATTACAATTTGAAATCACGCCACCAGTGAGTGTGGTTATGAGAGATTTTACGACTTTAACAAAACCATGTGGCAACATCCTGTCCCTGGTTCCTTCAAGACTAACGTAGTCTCCCACTTTTCTTAACTTGGTGAAGGTCCCTCGTCGATGTCTTCATCGATTAATAGCATCTAAACACGAGAAAAAAACATCTCATAAGGCATTTTTTGGGTAAATTGATTAGTCGCTGAAAACCACTGACGTGTGGTTTATAAATTTATTTTTTGAATGGCGATTTCTTCAAGACGTCATGTTTTAGGCAAAACCGAGAAGTTCTTGAGAACCGTAATCACTGTGGGTGTGGTTTATAAATTGTAAGTTGTAAATCGGAGTGTCGCAGATCGAGCTGAGAAAAATGGTATCACAACCCATGTTTTGACAAAAGT